TCTAGAAGACAGACACCCTCATTATTTTATTTTCTATTTACATGGTTATTAGTGAATTTTACTTTTTTATTTTAGTGTAATAAATTGCATGCTGTATGTAATTTTTCTATATTACCTATTTCAGGATTCAGTTTTAATGCAGTTTTGTGCGAACAAACTAGACAAGAAGGACTTCTTTGGTAAATCTGATCCTTTCCTCGTATTTCATCGAAGCAATGAAGATGGCAGGTAGATGCCTGTTAAGTATTTCTGCTGCTAAATAGTAGGCAACTTACTTACTTGCAGATGGTAATATAGTTTTAATTTTTTATGTGTCACGTTAAGCTGTTTCTTTTATCATGTTTGTTGGATTTAAGTATATCATGTTATGCAGTACAGGAATAAAACTATTGTAACAGATCAAATATTGCAGCTCAGGGTTTTAAGAGTTAAATGTATGATAAATAGAGAACAGTATGAAAATTAATTGTAATGAAAATGGTAAAATAGCATTACTTTTGCTAAGAAAAGTATGCCTTTAAGTTAAATAGAATTCTCAAAGAAAATTGTAGTTGCAGAATATGCTAATCCTTAGAAATTGTTTTAGATAAAAACATTTTATACTGCAAATTTGGGAATATCTGTTATCTTGTGACAGACTTCTAGGAAACAGAATTCAAAAATACCTTAAATAGATATTTGTTTGTTTGTTTGTTTGTTTGTTTTTATCAAGCTGGTGGCTGTTTGCTACATTCATGCTTTAATTTGTTAAAGTAGGCTAATCTCTCCTGTTCTGCTGCTAAGACTTGATGTGCTAATTTCTGGTCAACATACTACTTACGTGGGAGGTTACTGGCAGTTTAAGTTTTCTTGGAAGCTGGTAGTCCTCACATATAACCTCATATCAAACCACAGGCTAGACATATATGATATTACGTATTTCAGTAGCTTAACTGGAACAGGTGTTAGCATAAACCTATGTTAACATACGTATGGATCTGTGTGTGTCTCTTCCCTGCTCTTTTCCTCTTGGAGGCAGATTATAGGAACAGCTTCCTTAATAAGCACTGAATATCTTAAATTGCAAGCCTGAAGGAGTTTGGGCTCTTTTGTGAGTGGCATTAAGGTCATTAGTGGAATTTCTCTGGGCACTCACTGAGTTCTTTTGGCCTTAAGTGCCATGCTTCTCCACTTCCTTCCAAGAGGTGAGTGTTGAGCCACTGATTCTTTATTGGTCTCCTGAATCCAGCAGTGGTCAGAAGGATGCTCACTTTTCTGTCTCAACTTCAGGCATGCCTTCTGAGCCATAGCCAGGATAAAAACATAGGCCTTTGGAACATAAGGAAGATAGTCCCTTAAGGGACAATTTTAGTCACATTGTATGTAGAATTTCAGTAGCGATTTCACTAGTGACCTTGCCTCCTGTTTTCTTTTGAACAATTCAGTCCTAAGACAAGGATTTAAAACAACTATTTTAATTTTGCATTATTTAGAGAAAAGCTGAATGCATTAAAACAATTAATTGTATTTTGGCTGAGAGAAGGTGATCACAGGGTCTCATAGAGCCTTATAGGTCTTACCTGAGACAGCCCTGGTTAAAAATCATAGACATAAAATGGGAAACAAGAATCAGAAAGCCATGACTCCCTTGGCTCCATTTCTTAATCCATACCAGACTGCTTTCTTTCTGGATCTGTGACTGATTCCTGGCTGTACAAGGCCTGTTTAAACAGGTGGGATGGAGGCTGGTTTTGCCTGAAATAACTCATTGAATGGTTGTAAATCTTATCAAAGTTTTGGCTAAAAACATTTTAGGTTTAGAGTTGTTCAGCACCCTAGTGTGTAATCTCTCTCAGATGTGTCTGTCCTCTTCAGTTTTCCTTCCTTTCTGATTTCATGGCATTTCTTTTTTTCTTATCTTAAATTCTATATGGCCATTGTACGAGTGAATACAGATTCCATGTTTGATGACACAAAAGAAGAAGTAAATAAATAGAAAATACATCTTTTTTTATTATTTATTACAGTTTTACAATCTGCCACAAAACAGAAGTCATAAAAAATACGTTAAATCCCGTGTGGCAGGCATTCAAGATCTCTGTCAGAGCACTGTGTAATGGCGACTATGACCGGTAAGCTATAGGTTAAACTTTCTTAGCATAGAAAATTCTCTCTCCCCCCCAACATGTGTTTTTTTATATGTAAGTTTTTCTGTGCATTTCAGTTCCTGATGCTATTAAGGTTATTTAATCAACATTTTGAAAGGATATGTATTCAAAGCCATTCATCACATTAAAGAATTTAATAAAATAAAGCCAATGTAGTAACTGTAGGAAATGTTAGTGGCGATTTCTGGAAAAAAATGCTTGGTGTGATTAAAAGAAAGAAAAGACTAATTTGAAGAATGGCCACTGTTCCTAGTGTGCACAGTATTTTTAATAATGTTTCAAAGACGAACAATGATGATCTGTCTTCCTTGGGTGACATTGTAATATCAGAGGATGCTGATAAATGAAAGCCTTTAAAATATATAAGGTAAGTAGATGAGAAACACAGAAGGTAATCATCATCTTCTGATTTGAAGTTTTCTGTGATCCCATGCAAAAGGATCCCCTTTTGTATGGTTATAATCATAGTAATACCATGTTTTTAACCAATCCTTTACCAGTAGTAACAAGCAAATTACTTAAATTGAGGAATGATGGTTATTTTTAGACTCTTTAAAAGGTGGATGTGCTAACTTATAGCAATATCAGTAAGAAAAATGTTTAGCTGCTTATTGATGACTTCTTGCTCTGTTGTCACCATTCATATTTTTGAAATGCCTTTGGATGTTGGAGTTATTAGTAAGTACTCAGTTAAATTTCTGGTGGTTTATCTATCTCTGCTACTTGAAATCTGGAGTACTGGAGTTATTTTAAGTAAGACTCTGAGGAAGTATAAATTTATCAGTCATAATGCTTTTAGCAGTCCACAGTACACTGTTAGTTTAAAATCATGAAGAAAATGTTTGAAGACTAGAATAAAAATATGCATAATACATAAGCTGAATGTAGTAGATGGATAGGTGTGCTAAGGTTCAATTCACCTTTATGTAGACTGGGTGAAAGATACGAGAGATGCAGAATGCACTTGTCTGGGTACTTCAGAGGCAAAAGGTATGTTATCTTCTTGATTAAAATTAAAAGAGATTCAGTATTACATTCTTTCAAACATGAACTAATGTTTTAAACAGCAGAAGCCAAATCCTTTGTTGAAATGTATTACTGCATGTAGGGAATTTAAGTAAGACTTTGCTTAAATTGATTATTTTCCTGTGAGTGTGCCTTTAATTTGGAATTTAGGTAGTTACTTCTCTACTTCAATTTTTATTTTCAGCTTCTGTGTACATGATTACCATTCCTTCATGTGCATTTTATGTTACTGTAGTACGTGATTTTGCCATGTCATAGCTCCATTGCATTACTTTATCAAGCTAATTATTCTGTGAAACATATACTAAAATTATTTTAATTGGTTACCATGAAAACCAACTCTTCCAGGAGGCATTCCTTGAACTTTTACTTTACTAGGTAATGCCAGAGGATAAACCAATCAACTCTTGAATCAACTGACAATCTCAGTAGTGAATATGAAGAGGCAGGACAGTAAGAAGTACTTATATTCACTAGGCTAAGTAGAATGCTTTCACAGTCATAAACTTAAAGCTCTGTCTTTATAAACTGCTTATTAAAAAGTCAAAAGCTAGTTGGCTTGTGATTATTCCCCGCCCCCCCCTCCCCCCAGGAAAGTGGTATTAATTTATCATTTGGGGGGAGGATGAACATCTTTTGTCTTTTCTACCAGATCATTGCTTTATTTTATCTATGGACATAGAATGGTTTAGTTTGGAAGGGACCATAAAGATAACCTAGATCCAACCCCCTGCCATGGGCAGGGACACCTTCTACTAGACCAGGTTGCTCCAAGCCCCATCCAACCTGGCCTTGAACACTGCCAGGGATGGAGCATTTGCCACTTCTTTGGGCAACCCATTCCAGTGCTTCACCACCCTCACTGTAAAGAAGTTCTTCCTTATATCCAGCCTGAACTTCCCCTGTTTAAGTTTAAACCCATTCTCCCTTGTCCTATCACTGCAGTCCCTGATGAAGTGTGCCCCTCCAGCATCCTTGAAGGCCCCCTTCAGATACTGGAAGGCTGCTATGAGGTCTCCACGCAGCTTCTCTTCTCCAGGCTGAACAGCCCCAATACTAAACAGAATTAAAAACGTCAGTGCAGAATATCCTGCATGGGAAAAATAATTTTGATTAAATTGATAAGAGCTGTCAAATACCACACATAGTTATTTTCTGCATAAAGGTTTTAAGACACAGATTTCCTAAACGCGAACATTCTCTAACCTTTTTTTTTTAAATGAAAGATTTTTAAAAATCTTTAAAATACAGAACCCATCCTCTAAACTGTGCCATTTAAGATAAAATAGTAGTGTAGAAATGGAAAATACCAGCATTTGAAAATTTGAAAGGCTTTTTAACATGTCGGATGTCATGCCAAATAGTTGAAACTCAAGACCTGTGATCAATACCCTTAATATGAAATAAATTTCATGAAAGAAGAGCTTTATTCAAGGAAGAACTGCTTCTATTGAAGTTACACGTTTGAAGATCCTTCTCAAGAATTTAATCTTGATACTCTTAAGAAATATCTTCATAATCAAAGTTTTCTCACTGACACGATTTGGCTATTTGAACACAGATACGTAAGGCAACTTAAAGCTTAACTATCACCAAACCTTCTGTAAATCTTAACTTACTAGTATGTCCTCTCTATCTTAATAGGTTTTTAAACCTGGAAGTAAAATAATGGTTCTCTAGGGAAATTAAATTAAATACAGTTTCCTTTGAACTGTCAAATACTTGGTGGGATAGAGAAGGTTTGGAGCTGATCTTGACTTCATTCCACAGAAAATCGGTTTTCAGTCTAAGGTGACTTAACCCCACACTGAAATTCTGCAAGGGGGATAAAATGTAGCAAATGATGTGGTCAGAACCATTAAATTCGCATTGAAAAGAGAAACATCCAGACAAAGCAACTCCTTTGCCCCTTCTGGAATATCATAAAAGATATGAAAAACATCTAGGCATGAATTTGTTGGTACGCATAGTATCAGCTGTTGATCAACCTTTTCCCAAAAGTGTCCCTTCCTTGTGAAGAAAATTATTCAGCATCTATTCAACTCTATTTCATAGGAAGAATGAGGAGCAGCTTCCATGGAAGCAAATTATAATGTCACTGCTTTGATTCCTGTCCCATCTGTTAATACCACAGACCTAATCACTTCATGTGAAACTGAAAAATAGAAGTAAGCAAGCTGTTGCTTAAAATATAGAAAGTCTGGAGGTGTTATTTTTCTATCCCCTGTTCAGTTCACTTTAGGCCAGATAGGATTCATTAGTTCTAATTGCTGAATTTATATATACTCTTTCTCTAGTAAAGGGAAATAAATAAAACTATAAACTGTCTCCATCCTGATATGCTTCCTGTTTCATTACTGATGTTGATGATAACATCCTCTATAGTATTTGCATTTTAAGAAATCCACTCTTCAAGTAAGTATGTAAAATAAGATTGATCCTTTACATGGGACATTTTTGTTTTCTACATTTTGTGTGTTTCCCAGTTGTCCCTGAAGCAAAAATAGTTCAAGTTGCCCTCAGAGGTTCACTTCACTCATCTCCACATTCATCTTCCATTTGCAGCTTGCCCACCAGTTCCTTACTCACTAAGAGAAGGATGAATATTCCCACATGGTCCAGGGTAATCTGTCAACTTGGGAAGAACTGGTACCCAGTGTCTGTTGTGTCCCCCCCACATCCCACAGTCTGCCTGTCCCATTTCACTCTAAGGAGCCAGAGTCATGGTTATGTCGTATAATATGATGGTTGACTAGTTTAATCCAGTGAAAGAACTAAACAACTATCCCACTGGCTTTATAGGAATTAGAAAACTATGGTGCACGTTTCTGTCCTCTTTGGTCAGTTGACCAAGCAGCCTACTCCTCTCTTGAGAGCTAGAGGGAAGTTTAAGAGGGGAAAAGTGCAGTCTGTAAAGAACTATGAATTCTTTCATCTGCAGCCACAGACAGACAAGGCCTTCACAAAAGTTTGGGTGGATCTCACCAGCTTTCGTTTTCCATCACTGCACAGTGTTTAGAAGAGGTTAATACTGCCTACAGGATTGAAGTTTTATTGTGTTCTGGAGTAGTTATTTTCATTTAGAAACCAAAATATATAGATTAGAATTCCTTTTTGCTTTAGATGTGCTTTACTTTGTATTGTGAACATTGCTTTTCATCTGTACTTTGCCGCTAAATGATTTTGTGTTATAAAGGCCTTCTCAAGCTCTGCAGACTTCTCAAATGTGGATATATTACTTTTTTTGGTAAGATGTTATTACCCCACAGTAGATATCCTTTTTCCAGGTAATAGCATATACCAAAAAAACCTTCACAATAAGTTCCAGATTGTTACTGTTCTTAGAAACATTGATAATACTTCAGGTTTAAAGAATGATTTATTAAAAAAAAAAAAAAACCACAAAAAACAAACCCACAGAAAATTCAGAGCTTTGGGAGGTAAAAATATATTGGTTAAACTTGAGTTGTTCCTTTAGTTTCCACTGTATTTTACTATTAATTTATGAAGATACGTTGGCTAACCTGAGTGATTTGCTATTTTCTACCCCATGAGAAACGACTAGAAAATTATGCCGTCTGGATTTGGCACAGTTGTTACACCCATATGATGCTAAAGTATGAGCATTAAAGATAATCCTGGTAGATTTTAATATGTATTTTAATTGGTTGTGGATTTTATTTTTTTTTTAGGACAATTAAAGTAGAAGTGTATGATTGGGATAGAGATGGAAGGTAAGACATTAATTCTATTGTTAAACTGTAGAGTTAGCCATGCTTAATAAACAGGTCAGCCTGTATAAATTTATGCATTTATACACGTATTTTAAAATGTATAAATACACAGTGGCCAGAACAGGACTAGAGAATGTATTAATCAATATTTAGAGGTACAGGAACTGGATAAATAGTTTTGCTGTGCTGCAGTTCTGTTTTGTTTTGCAGTTGTGGTAAGCCTATTTCAAACATGATATGTGTATCTTCATACATGGAACAAGCAAGATGGAATGCTTTGTGATCTGTAAAATCAGTTTTGTGAATCTCATGTTATCAGTTAATGTATGCATATGAAGAGAGGCATAATCTGTTTTATAATCTATTTTCTTTTGCTTAAAACCACTGCTTCATAAAGCATTGCTTTTCAAGTATGATAAAATGCGTAAGCCTGCAATTGCTCTTTCATGGTTGCCTAGATATTGCAATGTAGAAACTACCTATTAATTATCATCATTTCAGACTGGGTTTGAATGTTCATTTCGATGCCTGTCTTCATCAAAATGTGGTTCTAAACTCTGAAGTTGAAAGACCTGGGTTTTAAATCACTCCATTGCTAGAAAGAGGATGGTAGAATATACTTGGCATTTCTGTTGCTAAATTCAAGAAAGGCACTCTGTTATTATTCAAGCTTGCTATGTGTACTGAGTGTACCTTTTTTATGAAGAAATTAGGCTTTCAAATTGCTTTTATTTTGACAGAGTAGATAGAATTATTTTTTTTATCAGGCTCGATTAATACCATTTGTTCTTTTAAAAATGTTTAAGCTTATATCTTAATACCTTGGTTAGAAACGTTACTCATAAATCACAGTACTAGAATTTTTATGCAATAAAAGAAAATGTTGATTTCTATTTATCTTTCAGTTGTCCTGTCTTAAATATTTCCTATTAATCTTAATTTACATTTTTAAATATATGGATATGCACTTATGTTTGTATTTTTCAGAGTATATTATTTATTTTACAGTAATGTCTTTACTATTGCTAATGCAGTTTGCTTCTAGTGTTACAGCTAATGATATATACATTTCCTTGCTGACGAGGTCGAAAACCAGTTTCGGCTTTCTGTTTATACCTTCGTCTTCTTGGTTCCATCATGAAGCCTGTTGATTTATAAGCATTCTTCTCACATTTATACCTTTTATAAATACATCTAGTGCAAGTTCATCCTTCTTGATTAGATATTCCCTGGAGAGACAAAATAACATATTTGGCAATTAAAAATGCAAGGATTTAAATTAACAAAGCCATATTAGCAAAAAATCACTGCATCACTGTAATGATGAATTTCTATTAGCATCCTTCATTCCTTACTTAGATTTGGCAAATCCTTAAAAAATGAGATGTATTTACACTTTTATGTATAAACTGCAATATTTTTTGAAATAACGTAACAATGAAAAATTATATTACCAATTTAATAAAAAGCAAAGATTATTTATTATTAAGGTATCAAATCCCATGTGCTGTCCCATTTCATCCAAAATCACAATCTGAGGTATGATTAAAGAGAAAATGAAGAAATCTGACAAATAATGTTGTGTAGCTGCAATTCTGAGTGAAATCATCAACATACTGTGCAATTTAGGCAATCATTAGCCTCTACGCTCTCTCAAACAGTTTGAAGTATTATCTGCTTTTGCTTACATCCCACTCTGAATACCTATAATGTTAATATCTAAAAAAACCAAAAAGTGAGGGATACTTATTCGCATGTACTCCTTCTCATTCTAGTTGTGCAGGGTTTTTTGCCTTTTTCTTTCTACCTATTTGAATTTAGAAGCAGGCAGGACACTGACATCTTACATGTTCAATTTCTCAGAAAGATGAGACAGCACTCCTCTCATGTAACTTCAGACAATGTAAAAATCAGGCAACTAGATTGGACTAATCATTTAAGCTACTTCAGTAGCTTACAGGGAAAAATGGTCTGATTGAATCCATCCTAACTGGAATAAATTGCCAGTTCGTGGTGCCTCCGACTTACTAGTGATCATAGCAAGAACCTAAGTGCCTAATTTAACTTTGACATTGCCAAATGTATCTGAAGTGAATCCCTCTCAAGAATTAGTCTATCAATTTTTTGTACAATGCTGCTATTACTTAGTTTATATTAAATTCCACTTTTGATGGACTGTTTATAAGCAGTTATTGCACTAGCTAATCACCTTGTTATGCTGAATCCGTTTGCTCCAGAGATGTGCAGTGGGCAAGAACAACCTTTGAAAGGTCATCAGGGAGCTTGCTAGATAGCAAAGCAATTTATACTGAGTACTGCAGGTTATTCTGCAATCAGTAAGGCAACATTACTGTGCATATACTTGATTTCTGAATCTTGACTTGACTCTGACCTCTTGAGTCCTCACTTGCAGTTTTTTGGTTTTTCCCTTTTCTGTGGTATATATGCTTTGAAAAAATGATGCCAGGGTGCTTTGTGTTGAGCCTCTTATTGTCATGTTCATGAATTACACTGTTAAGAGTAATTGTGTATTCCTAGCTCTCATTTATTCAAACATCTCTTAAACTTTCTTGAGTAATAGTAATATAGGGCCTTTGTAACCTTAACACAATCAGTAAACATTTCTTTGTCTCAAAACAGTTTTTGTACAAAAATTGTCAAAATGTGAACCACTTGTTGTAAATGATCCCTTTCATTGCTTCAAAGAGCTGTGACAAGCCCCAAAATATTTGATGCTGTAAGAAATCACAAAAGTTGTTTTTGTTACTTTGGACAAGTCCACTTGTATGAAACAGAGGGACTTTCTTTTTGTGTACTTATCAGGGAAGTACTTGCAGACAAGTCTTGCAGAAGGAAAGAATAGGATGATGTGCAGCTTCGCATCAGCACATCGGCAATACTCTAATGTTTTTATTTCTCTCTGAAGGCTTTTTCACTTAATTTCAGAGAAATTGCTACTTACATACATGGGGCAAAAGCCATTTGGCAGACTTGATGTTTATGATCTCTTGCGCAGAAGTGTGTTTTTCTTGTACTGTACATATTAAAACTCTACATATTACTATGCTAACCTGGGGCCGCCAAAACATTCATCTGAGAATCTCACTGCAGGAGAGATTGTAAATCTCAGATTCTAGGTTTTCTCACCTTATTTCTTGTTCTCTATCTTCATCCTCTTTCTCCAGCTAGATAGTTAATTTTTAAATTATAGCACTTTTCCCCTACTCGTTGACATATTTCTGATGATTATTGGCCTTTCCTGCACTGTTTTTTTTCCTTTAAATGATTTAAAAAAAAAAAAAAATCTAAGTTAATGTAATTCTGAAAGTGATTTTCAGCACTTCAAAGCACAGCATCAAATGTGAAGATTTAGGGAGATGGGGTTCAAGTGATTATGTGCTAAGAGTCTCTGATTCAGTATTCTGATATGCCACTCATGGACAAAAGTCTTCAAGTTAGGAATATTTGGTGTTAGGAAGGCGAAGAGAACAACTTCTTTGGATTCTCAATCCAGAGACTAATAAGGAGATCCATTTGGGGAAGTGTGATTATGAATATCAGGAGGGGTCGGTGCCTTTTTCTCTTAAGGAGTTACACTTCTGGCAAAGGCAAATGCTGTCTAACAGGCACCCATCTTTCAGCACCAACCTCGTGCAGGGGCATACATTCACCTGAATACTGAGTGTTAAGATCCAGGTTGATGATCTTTGAAGTGCAGAGAACTCTGAGACTGGTTATATATGCCCATACCTTTTTACCATGATTAGTCAGAGGAATTACATCTTTCTACTCAGTCCTTGTCAGTCTGTGCATATTGCTGCAAGGAAAGGAGGCTTTCCAGTGTCTATTAGAATTAAAGAAACAACTACTTTTGAGCAATATAGAGGGTTTTTTCCCCAGAGTCAGCCCTGCCTGGAATTACTTGTTTCTTCTGTTTGCTACAGGATGTTTGAAAGTAGTAATTGAGCTATTGTTTGAATTTCTGCCTTTGAAATATACAAACTGACTTGAAAATTTGAAGTATGAACTGTTACGAAAGGGCAAGATTCCTCTTTAACCAAGGTGCGTTTTTTTCCAGTGCTATGGTTACCCAAGGTTAAATACATCCTACATCCTACAGCCTATGTACAACTCAAATTCTGTACCCTGTATGGATGACTTCCTCTGTTCCCCTGGTTAAATAATCATTACAATATGGAGAGCATTTAATCAAAGGAGATGATACCTCCAAAACTGTTTTTGTAAGGAGAGTCTTAGTCTGTTTTGGAAGTAGTTTCCTGATCTTCAAACTGGAAGGGGAGTGTTTCATGAAAGGTGGTCCCTTCTGAATCTGAGTAATCGGGAATATCTTCACCATGAATTTCTCAAGTATTTCTCAAGTTTTCTTACAGGATGCTTTACTTATTTCATGTGTATTGCCATGATGAGTGGACCTTTGAATTGTTTGGTTTGCATGTTTTGTGAATTCATGCTGGTTTCAGCAAATGAGATTTATATTTGGCGTTTGGTTTTTTCATTTATTATTTATTCATTATGAATAAATGAAGGAAAAATAATCATGTTGCTATAGGTTGTTTCCATTTTTCCTCTTCTTGCAACATTTAGATTTATTTAATTTTGCTTCTAATATTTTTAGCTTAGTTGGAAGTGTGCTGTACTTCTTAAAAACAAATTTTGCAAGTAATAAAATCATAAGATGGGGTTGGGGGGAATGAGAGTTGGAGCAGCAGTGAGGAAAGTTCATCTGGAAGAGTGGAGAATGAGAACAGGTCTTGTGACTGCTGGGAGTTGTGTAGCCATCTGTTAGGCACTCACCCCTGCAGTCGCTTCCATTCCAGGGACCTGTCTAAGAGTTCAGTCACTTCTGGCAGCCCTGTGGTTTCTGTGCTCCAGCTTCCTGACCCATTACTCAGCCACCTTACTCAGCAGTGCTTCATCCAATACACTCGCCCTGGCCACCCTGCTCACACTTTGGCAGCATGACATCGCCTCATTAAGAGTAGACAAAGCAGTTTTCAAAATACAGGTGACAGCACAGGAGTGTTGAATGTATTCTTGGAGAAGGAATAGAATTTTAAAAGGAAAAGTTTGGTAGCCACTGCTTTAGTTTAAGATCTGCTTTCCAATGGTGCCTAATGCTGTAAGTTGACTAGCCTCAGTGGATTGCTTTTCTCCTCCCAGATGGGAAGACATAGCAGCTGAAATAAGCTTTGGGTCTTCCCCTTAAAAGTACCACTGAATGTCATGTTGCACAAATTGGTAGAGATGGTCTTTCCTGGTTCGAGTTACTCCTTTCACACTCTTAATACCTCCCTTTCTCTCACATAGTCTTACACGCAGTTCAGAGTCTGTGGTGCCAGTGATCATCCAGTGAGGTGATGGTGATAGTTTTCGATCGCTTGCTCTGGTTTTTCAGATACTGCAAGCTTATATCGGGGTCAGGTCATTAATTGGCAACCTAGTCCTCACTGTGCAGCTAAGTTAAGCAGAAGACATCAGAAAGATTTAAGCTTTTCATCTCTAAATTTTTATCACTAGCAGAGTGAACACACAACAGAGGAAGAAATAAAGATCTTTAGGCAAATTTTATCTTTTGCCATTGCTCCTTTCTTGGGTGCTAGTTCATATTGTGTGTCCTTCTCTTTTTTGTAAATAGCTGTAATACATGGTTTTTACAGTGCATTTGATTTGAAAACCTTTTCTTTATACAGCCATGATTTCATCGGAGAATTCACAACAAGTTACAGAGAATTGTCGAGGGGGCAATCTCAGTTCAACGTGTATGAGGTAAGTATTGTGAGCATTGGGAAATAAATGAGAACACTCCCAATGTTTTCATGGCAAACCGATTAAATCTGCACAATCTTGTAAAAATCAAACTTTGGAATGTTTTCACATTTCCATTTTTATAAACAAGAACAGAGAGTCTAAAAGTGTTGCTTCATAAGAAGATTTAGAAACAAGTAGGTATGTGCATATGTGTGTGTGCACACTGGGCTGTGATACGTCAAGAAGAGCACTGGGCAGGTACACTTGGGGCAAATACTGGGTTACCTCCACTTGTGTATGAACAATTTGTCATTTATTTCTTTTGCCAACTGCTACATGTGTTGTATGCTGTTTTATCCTATCCAAAGAATATCTGGTGATTCCTACATCAGATGCAGAGTCACATGCCATTCATCTTAAGTGCAGACTTTAGAATCTTTAGTGCTTTCATACAGGGCTTACAAGTGACAGAGAATTTATCTTATTTATTGGCAGGGTTTTTACTTGTGGTCAGTTACCATCTTTCCATCACTCTTCTGGTTTAGGATTCATATATCTGCCAACTACTGGGATGGACGGGCAGTTGTCAATTCAGTTATAGAGTTTTATTGTGTAGGCTTGTTTATGTTGGATCTAATAAATCCCTAGTTTAAGACTGGTTTCTTAATTTAGTTTGAGATTATTGGGATTTTGCAGAAAAGTAAACTTTCCAAAATCAAACGTTATTGAATCATCAAAATGTGCTGTAATTTATTCTCAGAGGCAATCACAGAGTTTGTGAAAACAGAAATTAAGATGCATAAACTTGAAGTGTCATAAAGGGACTTATTTTTGGCATCTTTATTTTTTGGACAGAGGCCTTAAAAAATATACCAGATTTGGGCACAAAAAAATTGACTGGAAAAAAAAAGCATTAGGAATCCTGCATTAAAAAATTAATTTTTAAATTAATATTCCAGAAGAATCTTAGTCTAGAATGAGAAATGTGTCATGAATTTTCAAAATGTGTTAAATAAGGAGAGGTAATAGGAGGAAGAGATTTAAAATTTATTTTGTTGCTGAGAGATTTACGTTCTGCAGCATTAAACTCCAGTTTATGGTTTTTATAGATCTAAGGCATTTCATTTTCATTTTGAGTCCCTGTTATTTTTATACATAACTTAGATCACTTCAGCGATACCTTCAGTAGGTAACAGTGTGTAGTACTGTAACTTCAAATACTGTGAATGTGCTCACCAGCTAGAAGCAGTACAGGTGAGCTGGAGTTATGCTGCATCTGAGCTAGTAAGTTCTGCCTAGAATGTCTTACTAATGTTCTGTTCTGGTGCTGACATGACATGGTTATCCTTCTTTTAGGACCAGAGTGAGGAAATCTACCTACACTGTGCTGTGTACACATACTGGCTCATCTAGGTCTGTGTCAAGTGTCTGCACTATATTGCGTTGTGTAGTTGGAGTTGTCTTCCAGAATTCCTGTAGAAGGAATTGGTTTCTTTCCCATGGTAAAACAATGTGCATTGTTTCAAGTTCAACCTCTTTCGTGTGTGTGTGTGTGTACAAAACCCTGTGTTTCCCTTTACTGTTGCTTTTTCACCCAGCAGTAGCCTAACGCTTAGCACACAACTAGTGCTTAGTACCTAAGCATCTAATTCCCCATTCTGATGATAGACATTCTTGATGCATTTACACAAAACCCCTCAACTGTCTCATGATACCAGTGCAGTGGTGGTGTTTGGGAGCAGTGGTCTGCTTAATTAGAGCAGTATCACCATAAAGAGATAGTCCCTGCAAGGGCTCATGAGTAGCAATTTCACATGGAAATAACGTGTGTATTCCAGGAACCTTTTCTGTTCCCCTGTGTGAAAGTACATGCTATTGCATTTGCACATTTCCAGCCATGTGTGTTAAAGGTTTTTAGCACCCTCCATCTCACACATGCTCATAGACAAAGTGTATGAATTGTGCCAGATACTTTCAATTTCTTTAAGGTGAAGTGCTGTATCTGTAGGTTTTGCTCTGTAGGCCTTTTATAGCCTCACTTAGTGAGATTTGCAAAGTGTCATCTTTATTTTTAACTTCACTGTTCTGTTGAATCTCTCAATTCTGTTCTCATTTTTGCTGTCTTTCATTTCTGGATATGAGCATCCATACAACACAGGAAAACTACTGTGCAGGCAAGGTACAGTCTGTGCTGTATTTATTGTCCTAAGGTTTTTATACAGTGGGAACAGGGGAACTTTGGAACTTTAGAGTCCGAGTATGAAGTTCACATTCAGTGCTTCAAATCAGAGAGTCATGAACCCAAAGAACTGTGTGTTATAGGTAAACTATTTTGATGTGCTTTTTTCTTTTTTTACCATTTCCAGACAGTGTATCTGACTGATAACTCTTTGACAGATCCTTTGATGAGATCTTTTGTCCCTTTCAGAGTTTATAAATAGTATTAAACACAGGAATGGTCCAGTTTTGAGTTTAGATGTGTTTTCCTTTCTTTCGCTTTGAAGAGGCTATAGTCTCCTCTAATGAACTTTTGTTTGTTTCAGTTGAGTAATGAACATTACCCAGGAAAACACAGCATCTGCCAGAGTGCCTAAGGGAAAGATAGGAAAGGTGACAGTGCATCCTACTAGAAATTGCCTTCATTTTGCCTTGGTTATGGAACCTTGCTTTTTTGGGTTTAGACCCCGACTCTTACCCTCATGCAACAGATTGCTGTCGTCATACCACAGTACAAATGCCCATTCCTTCCTAGGTCTGATTACCAGAAGGATAATTCTAGTTAAAAAGCAGCCCTCTCTTGAAAAATGTCTTCATACACAGAGCCCTCCTGCTCTCTAGGAGTTCTAATAGCATAAAATAGGTCCTCTTACCGCATCAGCAGTTTCAACCCTTGACTTATATAATGCAGACCAAACATAGTACTTGAAGAAAAAAATAAGGCACCTAGTATTTTTTTCCACTGTTGTTTAGGAAGTCTCTAAAAGAGTTTCTTCTTTCTTGTATTCCTTCCCAGCTTCTACGTGGGACATTGTGTGGGATATTTTTCTTGGTATTTCTTTAGTGACTCTATCCTTGACCTCCGGTGTTACCAGAGGTCAAGATTTTGAATGTATCCCTCTCACCCCTACCTTCCCCAGGAGAAAGTAATATCTAAGGCTCCCCAAGATGAACAAGGGTCATACGTGCCATCCAAAAAAACAGGAATAGCTTTTTCCACCAAATCTCCTGTTAACATAGTCTTGTTAGTATGAGCAACTCTTTTAAATTAGCAGCTCATTTGCCTTCAAATTATACTGCACATAATACAGGTGCTTCTGCTATGTGATGCCACCTGGTGACTTGTGGATTCATATGGGCTATAGTTGCTTTTGAGGTGGTTCCATGACTAGCTGTCTTGAGGACTGCGCTTCTACTCCCTCTTTGTCCATTCTGGTAGGAGAGGCTATTGCTGAATTTAGACTTGTATGTGTGTCCAGGTTGGTGAAACTCCTGACCCACCTGGCTGCAAGATCTTCCTTAGTACAATCGTAATCCCATAATTGGAACTTCTTTCAAATTCTGCTTCTCCCAAGGGTGATTCAGATGTAAGACAAATCCAGCTAATTAGTCATGGTCATCATGGTAGGCAGTTTCGTTTCAAGACCTCTTATGTCCCTCAGAATAAATACTTAAGACCTTCTTCTGGTTTTTGAATATGCTTTTTGAAGGATTTAGAAGTACTTGCACCATGAGTTCCAGCATCATCCAGTTTGCATGCGCAGTGTCTCTCTGAACTGAGATATAATTTTTATTCCTCATGGAATGATATTCTTGCTAATAATGAGAAGGCAAGCCCATGTGGCTGTAGCCTGGGGTGGTTTTTTTCCTGTATGGTGTACAGATCTTTGTTAGTCCTTAAGCTATCCTTTAATTGGTTTCAGACTACTGCCATTAAATGTCAGTATTGTCTAGAATTTCATGTTCCTAATACAGGTGATCACACGTAGGATGGTTTAGGCAAGCACTAATGCAAGATAGGGCAATAGGGTGCTCCAATTATGTACTGCACTTATATTTTAAAAATGAGCAGAGGTGCTGCTGTGCAAAGCAGGACAAAGGTAACTGAAAGCCACAGGGGTTTTTCATATTTAGATCCAAGATCAACCCAGAGTTATGGTAATTTACAGTGGTTTCCTATGGATAGTGTCACAACACAGATTACTGCGTGCAGTGAAAATGTCCTCTCCTGTTGCATCACTGACATGACTTCTACCCTCCAAGGAATATTCTGTCATAACATCTTAATTGATTTTGCAGTTTCTTGAATATAGTATCAGTATCTCACTCCCATGAATAACATCCATTTCTCGAGCATCTTATGTTTGCCTCCCCACACTGCAATCTTCTGTACTTTGGTCCTGCTTCTACTTGATCTGTCTTTGCAATATCGGAACAAAAGAGACTGGTCAAATTCTTTCTTAATTGTTTTGCATTTACAAACTGACCCAAGGCAGGTAGAGAAATTTGTGGGAACCCCATATTTTCAGAAGAAACATTGCTACAACAAGCTTTTTTCAACTGACCTTTTTTTAAAGGGTAAAAGTTCACATATCTCCCTAGGTTACTGCAGGGGTGTGAGACTTTGATTTATTTATAGTTACCTGAAATCTGAGAAAACAAAACAAAATATATAAAAAAACCCCAAACAGCACACACACCCCACATAAATATTATAGTAATTATAGTACCTGTCAATTAATCTTTGATCAGATAGATGCCTTGTTTCCCATGTATTTCACTCCAAGCTCTAGTGCATTTCCTAGCAATTTCTAAGCAGCCTATTATCAAGTTACTTGAAGCAGAAAGTTCAGATGAATCTCTTTTTTGGCATTTACTGACTGCTGGCAAGAAATATGCTGCTACCTCACGCCTGACCACTGGGTTCTGGAGAGCTGTGAATGAAGGGCCACAGGGCAGGCAGGCAGTCTGTTACCTTCATCTTCCTCTGCTGGGCAATTCTCAGCAGGAGTCATTTTCTGGCTAAGATTGTGGTTCAACAAGAATTGCTGCATTGTTAATAAACCACCATTACACAGATTTAATCCATTGCTTACCAGTCATACTGGTAATAAGAGAAACAGGGGTTACTTGGGGTTTTTTAAGTGTTAAAGGGTTTGTGTATGTGTAAGGCAGTAAAAGCTGTGACGAACACTTAATAGATAACTGCATGGCATACTGGAGGGGAGGAAAGAATCGCTGTCATTTAGCCTGTTTGGGAAGACCTTAAGTGATAGTTACCTCATTGTGCCTTAAGTTTCACAGCTGTTCTGTGCTGCACAGGGAATATGATCTTTAAATGTACCTTCATTTTGTTTTGTGGGAGAGAATTTTTGGAAGATATATATTACATTTTTTCACATTTTCGGGCAAAATTCTTGAAATGTTTTATAGCAGTTAAATGACTAAAATTTTAGTTGGGAATGTTTTCATTCCTTGTCATTCACAGAACATCTGTGAGTAGCTTACATCAAAAGTCAGCAGTAAGCCACAAGGATTTGAGTTTCCTAGTTATATAGCAGATCATGGATCGACGTAATTAACAAAATAACATTTTGCTTCCAAATTCCATGTGCTATTTTTGAAAAAGCAGGAGTACATTTTAATATGTATGTAATAAAACTGACTGAGACTTGCCTTTGAATGGGTAGGTATTCAGAAGGGAAGCAATCTATTGGTGGCTACAGTGAAAAATCTTATGGGTGTGAGTTCTGTGAAGATGCTTGAGTATGGGGAGTGCACAGAGCCCCCACAACTCCTGTACACCAGTCAGGTAGTAGTCTGTGCTGTTTTCATGAAGTTACTGACTAGTTTTCATTCAGGCACAGTATGATCTGTCCCCGCAATTGCCCTTTCTGTCAGCCAAATCCTGTTGCAGCAAATACAGAAACTAAGAGCAGAACAACTCTCGTGTTTCTCAGATAATACCAAGAAGATGGAAACAGATTAACGGGAATGTGAAGAGGTGCATTGTGAGATGAAGAAGTTGTGACACAGTACACTGAAACACTGGAATCAGGAATGCAGAAAAAGGCAGAATCTTGTGAAAATTCAAAGAGTAGTCAGATTTAATGAACACTCTTTATCCCCTATTTGTCAGTAACAGCACTGGCTTACCTAGCAGGTACCATGAAGATAAATTCACTGGTTTTCAGATATGCCTGTATCCCAGAACTGAGGTGCATAAGTAAACAGTATGCTGAATGAATTTAGAATCCTCTAAAAGTAGACTATTTTCTGCTTTGAAAGTATCTTAACACTTACCTTTATGTTAAATCATAAATCATACTGCTTTAATATTTGTATCTGTGTTTCTAGGTAATAAATCCAAAGAAAAAAGGAAAAAAGAAAAAATATGTTAATTCTGGAACAGTAAGTAAATATATTTTATGTTACTGGATGCTTTTATCTTGAAATAGAGCGTAATTGGCTTGTAATTTAACAGGATTAGAATAGAAGCTTCTGTGAAGGCCACAACAATAGATTATTTACTGTTATACAGCATTCATTTCAGATTTTTTTAAATTAAAGAGTCTGATAAAAGCTCTGTCCAAAAGTGCAATGAATTCCAAAAGAAGTTATACCAAAATTTCAGTCAGATTACTGAAATTATTAGACTATTATTGGACTGAAGTTATTGGACTATTAATAATAGTAGTCTAATAAATATGTTTTATTTATCTGAAACATAGATGGACTTTAAGAAGTCAGTTTTCTTCTTAAGTTTAACTGCTGAATTAGCATCATTAAATCTAGTGTGCTTATCATGGCTAAACCAAAATGAGTCAACATTTTTTGTAGATTGATGTTAAAAAATCTGTTAGTTCAGTTTGGGATGAGAGTTTAATGTCCTGTTGTTCAGATTCCATAGTCTGTTTTATGAACCATTTGCTAGCAATACAAATAATTCCCCTCAGCAATTTCTCAGCTTCCATGTTCTGGCATCCATGATGTTCAAAATATCATTTAAAAAAAATGAAGAGAAATGTTGGAGAATTGTATATTGCAAAACTAATCAGATGTAAGATGTATTTTTTGAAACATCCAGCATGTGGGGTTTTTTCCACATGAACAGTTCCACTGAAGTCAGTAGGGCTACTTTAACTCTGAACTCCTGCCTTGAAGGAATGTTTTGTCATTCTCACATTCTTGTATAAGTCTGTTCATCAGTAGGAAAATAAAAACTTGTCTTGTACCTCTGCTTTAAATTGTAAAAAATAAGCAGAAGCAGATTGTCCATGAACATTTGCCATTCAAGATCTGATTCATTAGATAACATTTTTCTTCCATATTCCTTTTACTACAATTTAATATGTAAAAGTTCTGTTACTCTAAATCAGTGAGTCAGAAACTTATGAAAAATTACTATTTTAAATCAATACTAAAAGTAAATGTACTCAAAATGGTATGAAATCTGGCTTAGGGTACAATAAAGCAAAAAATGCATTCACATGTTCAATTTTCCTGTTGAATTTGGTTTGAAACCGAATTAACACCTTCACATGTATCTGCATTTGAAAGAACATATTTTAGTCACATTTGAACAGACAGAATCAACTGTGTCCTGTTAGCCTTTGTCTCAAATTATATGGAAATTTCCAATCAACAGTTGTTAGCAATTTTCTTTGCTCTTTCATTCTCTACCAGTGTTGTACTGGTTTTGTAATGTCTTTTCTTTATCAAGTCCTCTTTACATCCATTTGCCCTTACTTCTGTTAGTTCTTCAGGCTTCCCTTATGCATTTCCAAATTGTCACTTTCCTATGTATTTGCTTGCAGGGTTTTTTTCTCCCTGTCATTAACCCAATAATTCTTTATCCTACAGTTTTCTAAATTTTCAAACCAGGTAGCAAGACCATCATTGTCATTCTCCCTAATAGGAGTTGGCTTTTGGAGAACTTTAAGTAAAGTGGATATCTATCACTGACTGCTATCTCACTGCTGCTCTTAAGGACAGTGTACATACAGTAGCCGTATCAATTCATTATTACTTAAGGGGTCATTTTAAATTCAGACAACCAAATGACATACTAAGGAGAAATGTTTCAGAATACATGGTGAGTTTTGAACAATGCCAAGTAGCGTAATGTAAAATTCACCATATAAAATTTGGAACATTGGTATTGTCTGTATGGAAGTAAACACTTTGGCCACTTTGAAAGGGTGTTGGGGTGTTGTCTGTTTGCATTTTTTACCTTTTTAAATCAGATTCACTGAAAACGTTAGCTTTAACTAGTTAGAAACAAGATGACCAATTGTAATAACAGATGAACCATTAAAATGACTGTGTCCAGTGGGAAATCACATAAAAATTTCAATCTTACATGCAAGACTATGCTACTGATAGTCTGGTAGAACTATATATATACATATATATATATGTAACTATATATGGTCGTCATATCTCAGCTGGAAGGGTAATTTGATCACTTTAAACTTTGGAAGTCACTAAGACTCACAGAGAACCTGTGACAAAGGAAGTAGGATGGAAGGCAAAATTGCTGCCTGTAACCTCATTCTTAGTCCAAGTTTACAACATAGGAATATTTTCAGGTTTTATATTTTGCTGTAGTTGGCGGCAAATCAAATTTCATGACAAACTTCCACCCCCTTTTTATTGCATGTATCATTATCAGTGAATTTGCTTTGAGTAGTTACTTAGTTTTCACTGACTGACTGAGGCACTTATGTTGTGAGTTTTGTGTCACTTTGTAAATAAAACAAAAATAATTTGGATTTAATTATTTGCTTCATAAATGATGTGTGGTATATGAAGATCTTAAATGCTGGATCTTTTCCACTTGATTTTATACTTCCGGGACTCAAGTGCTGAAAATGCCAGTAACACATTCAGGCCACTGTCCGCATGATCAGAAGACGTGCATGTGGTAACCTGCCCTGGCACGCAATCTTCTATCCCTTAACTTTTGCTTGAAAATGCCCCAACAAACAATTGTAGTAGACTTCCAAATTTGTCTTTCAAGAACTGCCTATCAAAATGGTTTCATTTTTTTTAATCTTTTTTCCCTAATACTGTAGGAAATTTTGTCTTAAGGACAGAGCTCCAAACACTTTGTGCTTATGTCTCTACTTGTTCAACTGGGAAATGACAATTCATGTCTGACTGTCTTTTATTTGCTTTCAGGTAACATTGCTTTCCTTCCTAATTGAAACAGAAGTTTCATTCCTTGACTATATTAAAGGCGGGTATGTGATTGGCAACAAACCTTTCTTGTTTTCACAATCTCAATGTAATTCACTGACAATTTGTGTATGTACTTTGCATATGATGACTCTGAGTAGTATCTGTAAAGAGATGTATTGTTTCCTCATTTTAGAGGCTGTCCTTTCCTACGTAAAACCTGCAGACAGTTACTGATGTAAATTAAGCTATGGAACTTTGCTTAAAATGTTGGAATCGGTGTTGGTACTAAAACACTGAGATTGAGTAATGACCTCTGATCAGCCAGTGAAAGTTGGATTAACTGAAAAGGAATTACCTAGATACTATAAAATTAGTAAAATGCTAGTTTATTTCTTCTGATTACACTGACCTTTGGTGTATTCAATATTGGCGTTTATTTAGAGCCTTTTGCTTTCAAAGGCATATTTTCAATATTAATTATGTAAAATTTGTAACACATTCAATTTCTCATTTATTGTCATTTTCCCAAAAGGGAAGTAGAGACAGAAGCATTGCATGGCTTATCCTAGAACATGCCTAGATTGAATCTCAGGAATTCCTCAGGCTCTTAATCTCCCTGCCAGAACACAATTCTTCTCTGTGATAAATGAAAAAACTTTGTTACATTTTCCTAGGCACTTACTATGGATTTTTGAGGCATACCGTCTGAATATACATCCCACATTTATTTTAGAGCATTGATTACCTATGAAGAAAGAAGTTACTTTTTTTGTGCCAGTCTTCAACCAGTCTTCAGTTGAACTGAAAAGGAACTCTGTGTTGTATTTTGGCAGTAGCAAGACAGGGCTTTGACTTTGTTCCCAACAGTGGCAATCCTATGTTCCTGTTGTGGGCTTTAACAGAAGCATGTTTGCCAGAAGTTTGTATTGAATGAAGTATATGTATGCACAAATGCACGAACAGTTTTTTACCTCTAATGTTCTATACTGATATTTTGTGTATATCTCTGTAACTGCAAGTCAGAGACGACCTGTGATGGTAATTACCATTTAAGGGGTTTTCTGCTCTTTTATAGAGATATAATTCAGCAGAATGCTCTGTGCTTATAAGTATGAGCAGAACATTAATGCTTATTGTCTAATTATTTCATATAGAATCTTGTTTAGTGATTCATACAGTTATTTCTGTCTACATGCCAGTGAATACTGTAGAAGTACTTGTATAAAATGTTACCTTTCTGCAACCTATACAGTTTTATAAACATGACCAGGAGGCTGAGACTCAGGCTCATTCTCTCGGCTTCTCTCTTCCTTCATTTATCTCATTTAATACTACTACATATCAGTTGCAGTCCAGTTGGCAGACTATGAAGAAAGGGGGAAAAGAAGATTTCACCATTAATCAGTCTGTTTTCCCATCATGTCCTTCAAAATTGTTTTTTTTAGTTCCCTGGTTTTCTTCCATTTAGCTAGACAAGGGTAAGAAAACACTGATTCTGCAATAGGCATAATATTGACTCTTCAATAAATGGATGCTTATGAAATACTTCATGTTCAGAACTTTCATTGTAATTAATTTGAGGTGTCTAGAAGTAATACTGATTTAATGGAAATCTTGACAGCTTTAACTGTGATAAATTGGGGTTACAGTCTTAATTTCATTTGTGGGTTGAGTCTGCATCTGTTTAATTGGGATATTGCATTATCAGTGTCATCAGTATGACTTGTTGGGTTTTTTAAAAGCTCTGAAGAATGAAATAGAAGTTTGTCCAGAAATTCTAATCCCATATTACTACATAACACTGGATTTTATAGCAGTGTAGCAGGAAAGAGGTGGATGTCTCTTTTGTGTCCACTTTACATCTTAAGAATCTTACATCACAGTAGCTGACTTTTGCTTACATCTTGATACTTAATCACATATTTTGCCACACTGACCTTCCCACGTTTGAAATAGGTACATTGTGCTAAAAATTAATGTGTATTCCAAAATCTGATTTCTCCTGCCACTTACCAGTGAAAAACATATTCCTATCAAAATACCTGCAAATATATGGATAAGCTCAGGAATGCAAGGTGTAAGGCCTTGGAGAGGAATGCAGTTGAAATTATCCTGGTTTACAGGAATGACTGTCAAACAGTTCATAGTCTGCTCTGGTTTTGTGTGGATGAGAGATCAGGAGGCAAAAAGCTGCAAGACTCAGTGGACAGAAAGGATATTTCTGAGCAGAATTTCCTAGCCTCTTTGACTTAGAATAGGGCATGAGCTACCAAGTTACACTAGCCATCTGTAAATCAATAAAATTCAATAAGCTGAATCTTTGTACAACTCAAAAATATTGTCATCTCTTCTGTCCCAGATTAGTGGAAGGTAAGAAGAAATGTTTTCTTCCCTTCCTGTTAAAAGTCTTCCCTTCATCCAGGTGTTTGGAAATGAACGCTCACACATTGCTTGAATTCTAAGGACTTTGGACATATATTTTTAACTGAACTGTGTTTAATCATTAATGGTCAAATGGAAATTTAGAACTCCTTTCATGACAGCTATTTTCATCCAACTATATGATGTAATGGCATGCATATTTGATGTTCAGAGGACACCTGGTGTGAGATACAGTTAGGAAGCAATGGCTGCTGTAACTACACATTTTAGAGGCTTTACCATGTATTTCTTCTGTCCTTGGAGAATAATAAGGAGTAATAAGACTATGTAAGAGCAAGGTCTTGCAGAGCCTTTGTCAGAAAAATGTTCCCTAATACAGCATTTGGCCAAACAAGCATCTGCAAAGGAGAAATCATAAAATAAGTGTCACTGGGGACTTAAATGCCATGGAGAAGATGCAGCCTCTTGGTAGTGTTAGTTACTCCATTAGCTCCATTGTAGAATTCTGCGCAGTAAGTGGTCCTTAAACCTTCAACAGCTCCCGCTGCTAACAGACCAGCTGGTTGTCACTCCGAAGCCGCAGGAGGAAATTCATACTTCCTTCCAATGTACTGTTTAAAAACCCCTAATTGTTACAAATGTTATCAAGACTAATCAAAAGCTACATCAAGGCTTATGTATATCAGTGATGATAGAGCTGTTAGTAAAAAGATGATAGATTTTGTCTTGCTGTCCCAAAGAAACGCACAAAATGGCTGCTCTGTCATCGTGAGTTGAAGATTACTGTTCCTTTTAAGATACTTTCTTCATTTTTCATGGTAGTATAGGGTAAAATCACCTGTCCAGGAATCAAATGGATCATGTCTTTCTATATCAACTAAATACTGTCAGAGCAGTAGTGATCTGTCAGGCTCTGAATCCATAAGGCACATTGCTCTGCTTGGATATTCTACCAGAGTTCTCCTTTGGGCTGGGACATTGAGCAGCTCAGCCTGTCTGGCCAGGTGACAGTGTTTTAGCAGCTTTTGTGCAAAACTTCATGGCCTCACAACATCACTTGTGTAGCAAGTATCATGAGCTTTTAGTGTGGCTCCTTGGAGAACTACACAGCTAGAAAAGAAAGGATGCAGCCTTAGGCGAAGAATTTTCCTTATCAGAAACAGAAGTTTTGTTCTCTTGATGTGTTTTAAAATCTGCGTCATTAAATCAGGCACCTAAATTTGTGTCAAGGACCTTAATTTTATAAGCTGTTTTAAATTTTGAATGTCTTTATTCTGAATTAAGGTTTTTTCAGCTGATGTCCCTTCCACAAAATACAGTAACCAAGAATCCTATTTAAAATATAGGTAATTGTTGATGAAGGGTAACAGGTTAATAATACCAGTAACCTAATAATATGTGGTTGATACAACCTAACAATTAGTGTATTAAAAAGAAATAAAGCATGTAGTAGAAATAAAAGGAGGACAATGGACTTTCAGCTGTATTCATTACATTTATTTTGGTTCTAGAATAATATGTGTTACCGTGAAAACACTTCTTGAAATGTCATCCGGATTAATTTCCTAGGCATCTCATTTGGCTTCCAATGTAGTAGTATCTGATGTTTTCATGACATACAGCTTTTAAATTAGTCTTCCTGGATTAATTTTTTAGTTATGGCTGGTTAATTGTTTCAGTCCTTGTCAAATGGTAAAGAAATTAATAGCTTTTCTTAATAATCTTTAACACAAAACACACATTCACAGTATTACAGCTGCTTTTGAAAATATTTTTCTAATGGTATTAATTTGAAGTTAAATTGTTTGTTTGAAAGACCCAGGTTTGTGTTCAAAAAAGGTTTAATTGCATTTTGATAATTTTGACAACAAGGGTTGACCTGTGTTTAATACCTTTTGCAATTTATTATTCCTTTCCTCAGAGGACACTGGTGCCTTGTGTAACTTTGGATTCCATGTCTCTTTTCCATGAGATCATGTTCAGAGGCATGTTTCTGATATAGGATCAGAATTGTTTAGGTTGGAAATGACTCTTAAGATGATCAAGTCCAACCACTAACCCAGCATTGCCAAGTCCACCACTAAACCATGTCCCTAAGGGCCATGTCTACACGTCTTTTAAATACCTCCAGGGATGGTGACTCAGCCACTTCCCTGGGCAGCCTGTTCCAATGCCTGACAACCCTTTCTGTGAAGAAATTTTTCCTAATATCTAACCTAAATCTATCATGGTGCAACTTGAGGCCATTTCCTCTTGTCCTATGGCATGTTACTTGGAGAAGAGACTGACATCCACCTTGCTACAACCCCCTTTCAGGCAGTTACAGAGAGCGATAAGGTCTTCCTGAAGCCTCCTTTTCTCCATACATATTTTGTGTGATACATGAAACAAAGTGGTCATTGTAAACATAGGGTGGTCATGGTTTGCAGGTTTGCCCTGACAGAGTTTTGTTCTGGATTTCATAGTTCTCTGTAAGACACAAATGGTGTTCTCTGTGATCATGAGTCCATAATGCAAAGTGACAGCTTTGTTAAGAGTGGGATCTGGTTCCCTGAACTATACAGGCATTTAATGCCATTTTAAACTCCCGAAAATTTCCATGGTATAGTAAATACACTGGGGGCTTTAAAATAGCATTAGGAAGCTATATTTAGGAAACTGAAATCTTATCTATGTACAGTCATCTATACATTTTTGAGATCAAGTAATTGGTTTAAGTTCTCCCATGTTTTTCTGTAGCGGTATCACTGAAATGTACATGCAGATGGAAACAAATTCTAGAGATGTAGACATCTGTTTCAATCTTATTTTATATCATGATCTTTATAGTTGTCAAACTTGCAGCTACTGTGATATATATGCTCTTCTGCTTAGACAAAAATCATCTAGATTACAGTGGGTTGTAAATGGGAAAGACAGTTTTTCTAGTTTACCAGTAGCAATAATTTGGTTCTAGAATATCTGGAGCAATATAATACAGATATACCACTCTGAGAAAATACTTCAGAAACTGATGTTGTTATTTATTACCTGTAGTCACAGGACTTTCTTCTTTTTTTGCCATTAGATGTTATTTTAATATTTTTCTCTTTTTAGCCATTTTCCTTTTTATCTTTTTCTATTTCTTCTTAACAATTGGATCAGAATAGCTGATCCAGGAAATGAGCTTACAAGTAAGTTTTGCTGTTCTTATGCTGAGGAAAAGCTGTTTGAGGTTTTTTTTTTTCCCCATTGGCACAATCTTCAGCATGCTGAAGATACTTGTACTTGAGGTACCTGACATGTAATGCTTGAAGGAGTCTTGTTTTACTCTTCAAACATTGCACTGCACCAAAGCCCTTAAAATTTAAGTGCAGCCAGATTATAGCCCAAAAGCAGTTTTGCTTAGCAGTGCCAACAGAGACTGTAAGCATAAATAAATATAGAAGTGGTATTGTATTAGACTTTTTTGTTGTTGTTTTTCCTAACCTCTTCTTACCTAACGAGGACAATTTTTCTGCACACTGTAGTGATGGTGGTAGAAAACTAATTGACGCGCATTTCTTAGGATCTTTATTCTTACAACTAACTGACAGTGTAGAAAGGCATTGTGATTAACAAGCCACAGGGCCTGACATTTAGGAATGGAACAAATTAAATCTGACTTGTCATGCCATTAAAAAATTTTTGGTGAAGCTGCATGAAGCATAATGCAGAAATATTGACAGTAAACTTCTCTTATAAACCTTAGGTCTTCTCAGAGATTGCAGCAGCTTCCGCCATTGTCCATATTGAGGCCACAGCATATTTAGAAATATTCCAGGCTGACCACGTTGATACTGTGAGCATTAGTAGGCTTTTACTACATTTTGGAGACAGTCCATAACCTAGCTTAGTTTGTTTTAGTCTTGATCAGAATTATAAAGTCATTCCATGTTAGTTGCTTTTTTCATACCCAGCTTTTTTTTAAATAACCAGTATTTTCTCTGGCCGTGTCAGGTTATGTGAGCAGCAAAACTGCTACTGCAAGGCCAGGTGTCGGATTGTTGATGTTTAATCTGAATGTGCATGAGTTAAATCTGTTCAGTAACTTTCAAAGAGCTTTAATTTTTGCTCATTAAGTTCATTGTTGCACACACTGAGAGGCAGAAATTTGAAGGGAGATGTAAAAGACTCAATCTGAGCAAATTCATGCAAACTCTTTTTCCTGATAGAATCTTACTAGCAGAGAGATTAGCCCCAGAATGACAGTATTTTGTCCTGAAGGAAGATGCAGAACAGAACTGTGTTTAGTTGTATTGCTACTCTGTAAAAGTCCATTAATAATTATTTTTTTTAACAATAAATCTATGCTAACAGCTGATCCATCCAGAATAATGGCTTTGTTAAGCTACTGCTCCAAATACAGATCTTTGTATTCCTGCTTCCAGATTTTACTTTTGTCTTCCAAGAATTACCTTGATACACTTACCTGAAGTAGTGACTATGTTTACATGAAAGAAATCCACTGCCAAAACCTATGATATCCTGTCCAAAGATTTTATGCATAGTATGATTTGAAACATGTTCTGGTTGAAGACACAGTTTTCTTAATGCTAAAAGGAGCAGGTTAGTAAAAACCTACTTCCCTTGACAAATTCTTCCATGACTAGGGCTAAAATATGTCCAAGGAATAATTAGTATTTCTGTTGAAACTGAATTCATAATGTTTATGGACATTCATAACCTTATAAAGGATTTAGGATTTTTCACAAACAATGAAAAAAAAGGAAGGATGGAGTAAAGTAACTGTTTTCAGTGTGCTAATAAAGTAGTAGAGTTTAGAAATAAGAATAAGAAAGTAGAGTTGTGTAGCTCTTGGCTGGAACCTTATAAAAGAGATTTCTCAGTGTTTATTTACTGTATTAGAAAGTCAGTGTCCCACAGTTTGTCCACAACCAACCTTACTATCTCTTGTTTATTTTTTCACATAACAGTACAACTGTTAATAAGATTTGTATTTGCTTTTTCTACAGAACCCAAATCAATTTCACAGTTGCTATTGATTTCACAGCCTCAAATGGTAAGAATAAAAAGAAATACCTTGTGTATGTATGTAATGTGTTCAGTTTTAAGTGTGTGTATGTGCAAGCATATGTATCTATATCGGTATTTTGCTTTGTTGTATTATTGCTACATATAAAATTGAAAAAGTAGGAGCAGTTTGAAAACATTTGTGTATTTTCTGATTTTTTTTTCTTTATTAATTGCTTGGAGAAAACTGGCTAACTTAGAAGACCCCATTGAGAGGGCAAAAGAAAAGAGTTTCAAGTGGAGTGGGGCTGAAGTGGGGTGAAGCAGAGATAAGTTTTGACCTTCCTCCAAAGCTGCTTTCAGAATGTGATAATACTTTTGTAAATTTCATCTTAAAAGTGTATATCATATTATAAAAAGACAAAACTTTATGAATCTAATCACAATTGCTTGCTGCCCTTTCCATGCTGAAAAAGTTTACAGATACTACTGTTAACCTGCTAAAAAACATTGCATTTTTACCTCATACAACCACAGTTATGCATATACGAAATAAGTTACTTTTCTTTTCATGATCTTTTCAGTCTCTGCTTTCGTAGGTTTCTATCATTTTTGAAAGAGAAAATTCTGCAGTGATTCAGTTTTAAAGTAAATCTGGTCCTTGCTCCAACAGGTAACCCGTCACAGCCTACTTCACTGCACTACATGAATCCTTATCAGCTGAATGCTTATGGCATGGCACTGAAAGCAGTAGGAGAAATAATTCAGGACTACGACAGTGATAAAATGTTCCCAGCTCTAGGTTTTGGAGCTAGACTGCCTCCTGATGGAAGAGTATCACATGAATTTGCACTGGTAAGTAGAATCATAGAATCATAGAATAGTTAGGGTTGGAAAGGACCTTAAGATCATCTAGTTCCAACCCCCCTGCCATGAGCAGGGACACCACACACTAAACTATATCACCCAAGGCTCTGTCCAACCTGGCCTTGAACACTGCCAGGAAAGGGGCATCCCCAACTTCCTTGGGCAACCTATTTCAGTGCCTCACCACCTTCACTGTGAAGAACTTCTTCCTTGTATCTAATCTAAACTTCCCCTGTTTAAGTTTCATGCCATTACCCCTTGTCCTACCACTACAGTCCCTAACGAAGAGTCCCTCCCCAACATCCTTATAGGCCCCCTTCAGGTACTGGAAGGCTGCTATGAGGTCTCCATGCAGCCTTCTCTTCTCCAGGCTGAACAGCCCCAACTTTCTCAGCCTATCTTCATACGGGAGGTGCTCCAGCCCTCTTATCATCCTCGTGGCCTCCTCTGGACTTGCTCCAACAGCTCCATGTCCTTTTTATGTTGAGGACACCAGAACTGCACACAATACTCCAAGTGAGATCTCACAAGAGCAGAGTAGAGGGGCAGGATCACCTCCTTTGACCTGCTGGTCAAAAATCTATAAATATCTATACATTGTTTGAATTTCTTTACTACAACAAAATTTTGGGAGTTAAGGTTGGAGTCTTAAGCAGTTACTGGGCAAGTAAAGAACAGATAATGTGCTAATTCTTCTGTATAAAAGACTGTTTCAAAATTTTTCACCATAGGGAAGATACTGAGAAAAATCCAGAGCCAAGAAGTCCCTATAGGCCAAAATTAATGATCAAGAAAAATAATCATCTTTAACCTCAGCTGTAGCAGCATGAGAAACAGATGCTTGAAAGACTTCAGATTGAAGCTGATCTATTTTAAGAAGCAAGCAAATCATGATCCAAGATAATCCTTCATTATTGTTGTTATTGTTCTCTATAATTTTCTGGGATCTCTATATCTTTTACAGACTGCTAGTTCAGAGACATAGAGATAACTAAGTGGACTATAAGTTGAGATACAAGAACAAATCTGAGACTGGTCCATGTGCCAGTTAAATTACAAAGCTAAAATCTTAACAGGATTTACCAGAAAGGTTAATGTGTTATAACTGATGCTTGTGATTAGTGTGGATGTTGTCTACTTGCTTGTTCTGAGGTTTTTTTCCTCTCTGAGTAGGATAAAGTTGCCAGAATTACAGCAACTGTAGGTATATCAGGTAAGTTTTAATTAGATAGCAGCAAAGACATGGAGAAAGACTGGCGATTGGAGATGTGTATTTCTTCAGTCAGCCTGTGCTAGAAAACAGTGGATAGTAATTTTCCACATGGATAATAATTTAAAACAGGTGTAATTGCAGATACTCATTTGACTCACAGACTTTGCTTGGACTTTCATGTAGCAAATTCAACTACATCGATACCTATAATCTTTAAGCCTATTAAAACAGCAGGCTTATTTCTGGCTACTTTCAGTTTTAAAAGTGTATCTAGAATTGATTAATTCATGAGGCACTGTGGTGCTTTTACAGAGGAAAAAGTCTTTATTTCCTTCCTCCATATATAAACATACGTAGGTGTCTCACATTTAATGCTAAGCAGTGTTTTCAGTACTCTCTTTTAACGTTCTAGATCAATTCAGTGAAAACCCCCCTGTGCTTTTCTAGATTTTCGGGGAGGTATACTGTACCTCAGAAGAAGATACTGGCACATTAAGCCAATGGGGTGTTGGCACATGAAGGTCAGGATTTTGAAGCCTTACATAGATAATTTGTATGGCCCGAGATAGATTGTTAATCTTGGATTTAGTTTATATGTTTGTATTGTCATCTATAAATAGGCATCCCATTATAGAGTCATTATGGAGATAGATAATAAAATGCCTGCCTCAAGAATTTACAGTTACAGCCATGTAAGTGAGTTCCCAAAGAATAAGTTCCGTTCTTCATCTGTTTTATACCAGCTCAAAAATCAATTTTCCAATGCAGAAACATTGTACCAAAACAATGAAGAGTTTATAGCTAGGAAGAAAATTAAGTCTATCCCAGCTGAAACCAGGACATTTGCCTGTACTCACATAGTGTATGAACATCAGTATCTGGCTACCTTTTTCTCTTTTTCTTTTTTTTTTTTGGTCATTTTTAAAGTAAGAAATCTTTGAGCCTGAACTGTGTTCCTGAACAATATTCCAGTTTTACATCTGCCCTGTAATTCGTACCTTAAAACCACACAGGGAAATGCCTGTTGCTGTTGCATGTGAGAAAGACTGTTTAATTCCACTTAAGGTGGTATTTCTGCCTAGGAACCAGTTCCAGTGATTAGACTGCATATAACATGAGGCTGCTAGAACCTCCTTCTCTAGGCAGTTAACCCTCCCAGCCAGCCATGACAGTGATATTGGGTATTTGTAATAAAATCTCTGAATAGATCCCAGAGTGCTTAGGTCTTTGCCTTTTAAAAATGTGCACTGGGTAGTGTTCATTAACCTACATCGTTTTTGTTTCATAATTAATTTTAGTGATTAATCATCTCTTATTTTCATTAGAATGGAAACCCTCAAAATCCATACTGCCATGGAATTGATGGTGTAATGGAGGCATATTACAGGAGTCTAAAATCTGTACAGCTTTATGGACCAACAAACTTTGCCCCTGTAATTAATCATGTAGCCAGGTAAGCATCACAACAGGTACTTTGCAGAAACTTTTTATTGTCAGTATAACTGTCACATATAAAAGGCTAACAACAGCTACATGATCCTAAACATTTAAAAAGGTATTTACAGTTGTTTTTCTTATTCAGTCTAATACAATTAACTTGTATCTTTGAGTAGCTTTGAAGACCATGTGCTAGTATTTTGAAGAATTTCATCACTGCTTAGAAGTAAATGCAAGTGATCCAGTTGATCCAGCCCATGTTAAATCAAAAGGAAAGACCATTTTTGTGAGCTCACTCTGCCATGTTCCATTTTTGCCTTCAGGGGCACAGAATTTTTGCTTCACAGAAAAGACATAAATCTATCAAAAAATTTTAAAATGCATTTTTTTTAGGCATGTGTGGTTCCTTTAATCTCAAATGACCAAAACATAAACAGACCAATGAAAACTGATTTGCAAACCCTATGGTGCAAAGCTTTTCTGTGCACCCCAGCATGGCCAGATAGCTCATTTCATTTGTTTATCGTTAGGATTAGTTGTTCCATCTTTGAATCACACCATTCAGATTATGTAGATGTATGTTCCATTGCTTGTCTTTAACAACTCACTCTCTCCTTTTAATCTTTCCTTTGACAGGCTCTCTCCAGTTGTTTTCAGACTGTGAGGGAGTATGCCAATTGTTATGACAGCTGGATTCCATATTTGTGGCATTGAGTGTTGGCATTAGCAGTGTTAACTGGAAATCTAACCCCCTTACTGTCCTGGCTCTTTCTTCTTCTCTGGAACTGGTCGTATCAGCTGAGCTGATTCAGAATTTAGCAATTAACCTCAAGCCACCTGTTCATTGCTAAAATTGAAAATCTTGATCAAGTACCATCAAAGCACTGGCATAAACTGAGTTCCTTTTCTCACCAGTTGTTTCTCAGGAATATTTGTCAACTCTGGCAGAATTGCAGAAGCCTGTCACCCACATCTGTAGTTCGTACACTGAAGAATATCAAGTTGTCTGAATATCAAGTTGTTGCAAACTTTGGGAACAACTCCTGCTAACAAATCACACTACATTATAGTGAAAAGCTAAATATCTTCATGAAGATTTCTACTGCATGATCATCCTTAATACAATCCGTGTACCAGTCCAGTTCCCAGTAGCATCATTTTCCTTCAAGGTGTAGTTTCTTGGCTATTCTATTGACTCTCATGGACATGGTACTAGAAATTATGATCTACCCTGGAGTTACTCTTCGAACCCTCCTTCAACTTCAAAGAAATTTCTTCTTCCTACATCCCTCCTATTTAAAAATAAACCTCTAATGATATCTCTGGAAACAATGTCAGATATTACTGTCCTGTTGTGATCTCAGAACATTTCAGAAGCTCTTTAAGCAGATTATATTATCCTTTCCCTGGCTAGAAAGTTACCTAAACTACAGTAGATTCAGCCTTGTGTCTTCTGCCATCTACCCTCTGCATAGATCTTTCTTACAAAAGACTTCAGAATATTTTATTCTATGGAACATTTGAAATAACCAAATTTCTGGTCCATTTCTTCAGTGTAGGTATGTAGACAGTGTTAAGTGCTCAGAGAGGATAATGAATTTTTATTTTATTCTCATCATTCCATGTCACTGCAGTAATCATTGGAAGCATTGTGGAAAAAAACTGAGATAAGAGTCTGCCTGGTAGCAAAAATGTATTCCACAGTAGGTCTTGATAATCTAGATATTTTAACTATCAGTCCCTACTGCCAGCATGCAAATAGATAATGTTGAACAGGTTCATTTTCTGTGTGGCTTCTCCACCCATTTGTATCTTGGGGAGAGAGGGAGAAAAATGTGTCTTACTGTGAGCTGTAGATTACATTTCACACAGATTCCTCCAAACTCTTGTTAACGTTGTGGTTACCACATCATTTATTGGCCGTACGTGCTTGGAAATGCATTGTGTAACATCACAGCAGAATTCTCTTAAGCACATGCAGTCATCATGAGCGTCATTAGAAAATATCCTCTTCAGTGACCCAGGCCTTTCATGTTCAGTGACCAATAACGCAGTGAGTTCTTTGACACTCCTATTCTGAACTTGGACATATATTCCACACTATTCATATGGAGACAAACTTTTTGGTTTTGTACTGCTCTCCATACTACTCGTTGCTACTTTTATTACAAGGTTCTACTATCTGGCTCCTTCACAGCCTTAAGAGCCTTCATTGGAAGCTGGAACTGGCTGCTGCCAGGTGAAGCAATGAGTGGAGCAGTGTGCTCCACACACAAAAAATTCTTCTCTAACTATATAGGATGCTTTGACACTTGGGAGTTGAAGATATGTGAACTGAAGTCTTAGTTTCTGTCTGAAGGCCAAAGAGTTCAATGGGGCTGCTACAGACTCCCTGTTTTCAGAACTTTCCAAATCTTCAAAAGCTGCAATTTTCAAAGATCAGTTGCTTCTCGGGTCCTTTGTCTGAAGTGGGACTGGAAGGCACTGGGTGTGTTTTGTCTTGTGTTTATGTACAGCACAGGGGAAGCTTGAGTCTTGAAAGGACATCTATGGGTAGTAGAAAGGTACAAGCCAGGGTTGCAGGGTGCATGTTCAGCCATTTTACAAGTGTGCACATAAATGTGAACTATATATCTGCAAGCATGGTCAGCAGCAAATAACCTGGTTTTCTATAATAACAACAACAACAAAAGAAATATTTATGCAGTGTGCTGATTCCTGATAAATTTTACTTGTGCTGTAAAATCAAGCATTCAGTTTTAATGTATGCCTTTCATACCAAGCTATGTTCCCCAGAGGCAATAACTATTAAATAACTTAGACTTTCTAATGACTCATGATTCTGTAAAGGACATTCTGTCCATGCTTCTCTTGGTAGTGATACAGTCCCACTTTTCACTGATAGAACAGTTGCAGATTATCAATTTCAATATTGTATTAGTTATATTTTTCTAATGTTCTCATTTAAAAGTGGAATATCCATCTTAATCATGAATGTCTTCACTTTTGAAATCCACTGTATCATGGGGTTTCTTATTAGTCCTTAGTAGTCAATTTTTTAAAATACAGCTACTTTTCACATTATTTCCTTGGCATAAAGGCTTTTTTTACTATTATAATGTTGTTTTTCTCCCCTTAGATATGCTGCTTCAGTAAAAGATGGCTCCCAGTATTTTGTTCTTCTCATTGTTACAGATGGAGTTATTTCTGATATGGCTCAGACAAAAGAATCCATAGTGAATGTAAGTTCTGCTAAAAGTGTTTACATTTTAAAGGATTAATTTTCTGTGAATTAATATTTCAGGCAATAAACTAAATAATTTAATATTTCAGGCACTACCTTTGTTCCATAAATAACTATTTTTTTTCCAAACACCAGAAGTTTATTGTGCATAAAGACAAAAAGAAAGCAAAACTTGAATCTCAGCTTAATTAAATAGTATTCTGTGGGAAACGGTACTCTTCTCTCAGGTACTGTATGTTCATCTGCTTCTTGCCCCTCCTTCCTAATGCAAACCCCACCATGCAGTTTTTCATAGTGAACTGTTCTTTATCTTTCTAGTAACTGCAGACAGCTTTGGTCCCCCCACTTTGTAAAAACTGCCCCAAACTTTCTGACCTCAAATGGCAAACATACCACTAATATGATTTCCTTCTAAATAGTCTCCTAGGATTTTCTTAATTCTTAATTGTTTCTCAGTGCCTACATTAAAATAATGAAGCATCATGTCAAAATGAGTAGTGTAGAATTAGGCAGCATATTTTTGAAGGCCCACTTTCAAACCTCCTGTAGAGATTCAATACATTCCAGATTGTGGAGTACACGTGAAAATATTACTGAAATGTTCTGTCTTCCACTGGCAAGCAAGGTGCCCTCAGGTTCTTGCCAGCAGCACACAGACAGTCTATGTGTTAATAAGGAGTCTGCCAGCCCACCTGGGAAATATACACACCCAAAGCTATAACTGTGTTTGAAAGTACCAGTTTACTTCCTCTCCTCTTCCGGCCTCCAGTATTAAAATAGGATAAACCAACTTTCACTTTTGAAGGAGATAAGCTTAGAAGTTCATCTTCTTGTCTAGCCCAGAAGTTTAGAACATAGCTTCTTTTAGATGAGCTTCTGTTAGGTGATGAAAAGGCTCCATGGTGAAAAAAGTGCAGCTCTTAATTTAACTCCCCCCTCAATTTGAAGTCTGTTAAGTAAGAGACCAGCAAGTCAGGTTGCTGGTATCTTGTAAGGTTAAGTAATTTGCCACTAAGACATGCAGAAGAAACATGTTTCCAGTAATAGTTCATTTCCAGGAATAATACCTATTAGTCTGCAACTGTCTGGAAATACAGCAGATGTGTTGTTAGCTTGGAATGAGTTGAAGTTTAGGAATATTTGCTGTCTTTTCTTTTTATGAAGATGCATTCGTCTTTCTGTGTGCTTCTTGAAGTGGGAGCACAGCATACCATGACAAAACTAACTAAATATTATTCAATAGCAGTTTTTTCAGTCTTAATACTATCCAAAATAATAAAAAGGGCAATGAAGTTCAATGCAGCCTGATATGTATAAAACTCAGGAAGAATATATTTCATTTTTTAACACTAATTGTGCTTTTAGGCATCTATCTCATTACATATATGTCAGACACATTCTGTTTTACCAAACTGTTTAAAGGTTATGCTGTCATTTGGGAAATGCCAACACTTATATGCAGAAGTTTAACTCTTTGTCTTTATGCTGTCCTTGACATTTACTGTTTCATATACATTATATCACATAATACCATGTCTGTGTGAGAAGGAATCTCTTTAAAGAATGTTTTCTTTACAATCAAGCAATATGATTCTAGAAAATACCTGAAAAACAGAAGGTGTTCTGTTCCAAGAAATGCCTTCATGTCTTGGAAATATTCTGTACTCACTGACTTATGCAGGGCACTGTAATTCAATTAGAATTACGCTGTATATATGGCCCTTAATCACAGAATCACTGACTGATTGAGGTTAGAAGGGACTTCTGGATGACACCTTGTCCAACCCCATGCTCGAGAGGGCTGCCTAGAGCTGTTTGCCCAGGACCATGGCCAGGCAGCTTTCACTTTTATCTTCAATAGCATATTAGTATTTCACTAACAACAGTTTATTAATTTTTCCTTTACTCTGTTACAAAATTTTAACTGGAAGATTGACTAATAACAATTTGTGATGAATTTGCAGTCATAGTATATAGCGTATAATGTACAGTGAGGTAGAATCATAGAATCATGGAGTCATAGAATAGTTAGGGTTGGAAAGGACCTTAAGATCATCTAGTTCCAACCCCCCTGCCATGAGCAGGGACACCACACACTAAACTATGTCGCCCAAGGCTCTGTCCAGCCTGGCCTTGAACACCTTCAGGATTGGAGCATTCACAACTTCCTTGGGCAACCTATTCCAGTGCCTCACCAATGTAGATCATTAAATAGTGACTTACAGATTAGTGTATTTTCATTGTTTTAAATAGCATGTTTACAATAATTAACTGTAAGTCTTCTGCTTATAGTTAGTTTTATATGAAGTATTGTGACAGATGAGAAATGGAAAATGGTGATGCTGTATCTAAAATGAGAATATCTTTTAAATGAGGGAGAAAAACACTATTTACATTCCAAAATAAAAATACAATACTATGTTATAAAACCACCTGACTTCAGAGAAGCAGAGTTTAATTTAGCAGACAGCGTACCTCCGTGGTTTTTGGCCAGAGTATACTCCTGTTTAAAATGCCTGTAGACATTTCCCAGTTCATCAGAATATCTCAATAAAAAATGGTTGTCATCTCTGACATTTGGCAGATGGTTTTTTTTTCTGTTGTTGCCCTCCTCAACAGAGGCAGTTTCAGACTACTTCTGGCAATTATCAGGTATCTGGTGCTACTGTCAGGGCAGGAGAATCCAACATTTATACTACTGACTTCATAATTTCAAAGGGTTTACGGAGAGTTTATTCAGGAAAAGCCAGATGTCATCTTTGCCTTGTTCCATTGAATGAAGAAGATTAAGTAAAATTAAAAATCTGACCAGAATCCAGTTCAATACCTTGTTTACTTTGTGGCATAAATGACTGACATGAGTAAAATTTTATTCATGGAAGAAATATAAGATACGTACTGCTTAAATAGGTGATTTGTTCTCTTGAGAAAAACTGGCATAAGATCTGTGTAAAAGATAGTGTCACATAGTTCCAAGAAGCTATATAATATCAAAGAAAAGCAAAGAACATTTAAATAAATGTCAAACTGTCATTAGGTACGTATTTGCAGTCACTGTCAGCTTAAGGAATTTTCTAAGATAGATTCATCATCTCAGTAGTCATATCAGTATTAAATCCTAATGTAATTTGTTGTGTTTAATTATAATCCCATGTGATTCAAAGACTTTATAAGGAAAAAATAAAATAATCATCTGTCTTCCCCTCTTCATCCCAGACATTTTGTACCACTTAAGCAGACACTTCACACCCCTCAGCTTTCTAGGTGGAAAAAAAATGGTTTTTAAAACATAACGTCTGCATGTTTTTATTCAGAGTCCTCAGATCTCACATATTTTGGCAGAGGTTATGTAATGCATTAAACCTCTTTTTCTGCTTCTTTCGAAGGCTTCAAGGCTTCCAATGTCAATAATTATAGTGGGGGTAGGACCAGCAGAGTTTGATGGTAAGTGTTCCAGTGTTTTTCCTAGAACTTTTTAGATTTGTTTACATTTTAGTAATATGTGGCTTTTCAAACAAATATTGTTCCTTAGAAGAGCATAATATGGAACCAGCAGTAAGCACTGTTGACATTTCCAGCTAGATTGATTGATAACTCAGTGTGACTACAAGCTACCATGTGGAGCTGTGTAGCCCCTCAGGCTCTCTGTACAAGTCACAGAACCATATGAGGGCTCAGCATTTACAGAGCTCCAGAAGATGAGTGGAAAAAAAAACCCCACAGTAAAGTAAGTATGCTCAAGTAATGTTGAATTTCTTCAATGCGGATATGTAGTTGCCTAGTGGAGTGTCAGTTGACTGGAAATATTGATCATTTGTTCTTACCACAGTAATAAAATACTGAGAAAAATAAATACACTTGAGGAGGTGATCCAGGTTGAACTGGGTTTCACTAGATAATGGGAGTGAGTCTTACTGTGTTGCAGCATTAAGAGAATATTACAGCAGGAGAGAAATAACCAGGAATATTTGCATACTCATTCATGTGATGTTCTGGAACATCATTCTCTATTGCAATAACTAAGCACTAAGGTGCCTCCATTATTTGGACTAATTTATTAAGTGCCATCATGTATATCACTGCACTATGAAGTATAGACATTCCCTGTATATCTATTCCTCAAAGTCTCGCTTACTTTGTTTTTAATTCTAGTACTTCTGGTTAGACAGTATGGCTTCTTTTGTACATGAAACATACCTAGTACTACCCCAAATGTATAATGTAAATAGTCACTAATGACTGTACATTTTAGTTCTTGGACAAATATTCTAAAAGCATGAAAACAAGCATTAAAAATAACAAAAAAAAATTATTGGGTGTTGACTTTCTTAGGCTTTTTGGTAAGTGGTGTGTTAGTGATAATCCTAAGTATCTTATTCCTTGAAGAGATTGTCCAGGTGGATACATACAGTGCAGATGATTGTATGCCACAATCAATGAGAACAGATGGTTTATCTTCATAAACGCATATAAGGGAAATGTGCAAACTTCATTTTTATCCCTGAGAATTCCAGTTTTCATTGTGCATTATTTACTTTTCTCTCTCCCCTCCTTTGCCTTTTCCCTTTCTCCCTGTTTGTCCAGTCCTTGGGTTTGCCCAGACTCCCCTTAATTCAGTCAGGATATGTAGATTCTGCCTTCTTTTTACTTCTGGAGGCTGTCTTTGCAGAGTTCTTGGTGTGTCACCCCTACTGCTTTTCTTAAGGCAGGATTCTGTTTGTACTGCAGGATACAGTTTCCATCTTTGGACCCACGCTCCTTGAGTATGCTGCCTCAGTGAAATTCACCTGTTAGATACATGCACAACCTGTAGTCCCTCAGCGCCTAAGAGGGCAGAGAGATAATAATTCCATCTGCAGAAATTCCTTCTGGAAAATACAACAGACTCTATGTCTGATGTGGACGCTGAAGAGGTGTGTGCGTAGGAGGGTGTATGTTCCAGGCACACTTAAAATTCAGATGCCAGTCAAGCCTCAGTTCTGCTCTAGAGAGACTAAGCTACTCCTCTCTTTATATCACTGCTACTAGATCTCCCAGCCTCTGGGGGCTACCAAGGGGGGTTCTAAAAGTGTGAAGCTCAGACAGATGGCACAAACATTTGGCAGAATTTTATTTAAGGATGTGTGGATGAGAACAGGAGCTTAGGTGAGGGGTCTGTTTTGTCCAGTATTCTGTATCTGACGTGGCCATGGGCTGCTTATCTGGAAAACATAACGAACAGAATAAGCAAACATGACACTTCCCTGAATACAGTTTTTAGATCTGAGTTTCCTGAGGAGGATGTGCTTTACATCAATTTTGGAAACTTTCAGTGGGTCTCTCCTTCAGATGGTTGTTGAGTCCCCTGTTTGAACACGTGTACATTTTTTTTCATGAACATTTTTTTTTCATCTGGCAAGGTGCTTTACAGACCTACTAGCTTTTTCTTTCAACAAACATGCTCTTTTGTTTGGCTTGAACTTGGATCCTGGTAGCATCATTTATGCCTTGTAGTTCTTGCATGAAAAGAACTAGGTTTTGAAATGCTGCTTTCAGTGAACTCAGCCCAGTCTGTAAACCCCTGAGCAGCTCAGTGACGCAGGGCTTTGATTTTCGTAGCATATGCTGAAAGAAGGATTGTAGGAATGCAGATCCAACGGCCAAGTAATAATCTGTGATGTCAAGTCCATCCATTTCAACACTGACAGCACATATACTTTCTACCTAGAGTGACTTCTGGGTATCTGGACAATTTTAAAGTTCTCCTGGATCCTGCTAAGAAAGATACAAGAAGAGTTGCCCAGTAAATGTAATAATTTTTTTTTTAAGAACTCCTCATTCCTATGCATCAACAGTCATTACTTCTCCATTATGAATGTGAGTTATTACCTCTTTGTGCTGTATCCTGTGGTATCTTCTGTAAGATTAACTGCTGAAAATGAATTCTTCTCTACCTATAAATGTGTAAGTATAGCCTTACTGAAACACATACACTTACTGGTTTGAGAGCTGGAAGGGTAAGGACTTCACCGTGGTATGTTTTTTTCTGAAGGTGACAATAAAGGCAAACAAATATATATTGTCAGCATGAAAAAGTGCAAAATAACTGCAAAACAGTATGTGTTTTATGATACAAATGATCTTAAAGAGCTGTCTAAATAACAACTGTTGGGTTTGTTGCCCTAAAGTGTAAATTGACTAAAGTTTTTCTCAGTAAGATTGTTTTTGTTCTGTAGCTGAACTGATAGATTAATCCATTTTGTTTATTTAATTTTTTTAAAGCTATGGAAGAACTGGATGGTGATGTAGTGAGGATTTCTTCAAGAGGAAAGTTTGCAGAGAGAGACATTGTGCAGGTGGGAGAGAAAATTTACTCTAATAGTTAGATTTTACCGATCCTGTTAGTTTGGAATTCTTGTCTCTATCTGTATTACTGGATTTCATTTTAACTTAGCATTGACATACTTTAATTTGGGGTGTTCATGATAAGTTCAGAAACTCTCTGTGATGCCTGTAATCTCTATATAGCACATAGTAGTTGATCTGCATTCATTAGGAAATGACCCCTAACTGGCAGGACACTGTTACAAAGTCCTAGGATTATAGAGCCATGGGAGATGAGTTAGTTGCCTCTACTGCAATCTCACATAAAGAAAAACTACAACTTTTGTGGAAGTCAGCAATACATAGGCTTCTGACAAGTGCATTTGAGATGCCTAAGGTATCTTGTCTTGCCTCTAACTGCCAGTCCAGAAGGCCATGAGCGTCTCCTAGTTTTTGTGTTGCATCTGCCACATACAACCATGCAGGTGCCCCATGCTTTAAGGAACCTCAGATGACAGCTCCAACAGGTTGCCCAGAGAAGCAGTAGATGCCCCATCCCTGGAAACACTGAAGGTCAGGTTGGGTTTCTGAGCAACCTGATCTAACTGAAGATGCCCCTGCTCTCTGCAACTATTCTATGATTCTGTGATCTGTGTTTATGTGACTGAACCAAGCCCTAGGAGTGCTACTCTCATCTGCATTCCATGACACCTACAGTTCTCTGCAAGTGTACTCTGGTTCTGTTCCTGCTCTCTACAGTCATTCAGTCAGCCCCATTGTTTTCATTCAGACCTGTGCAACTACTGGCCGGGTGGTATAGCAGTTTTGTGTGCACATACACACCCCCCATCATCCCCTTTCACCTCAGAGCTGCAGATCTCTAGAACTCCACGGCTGTCCAGAGTATGTATGTACTTCATCCATGCTCCAGGCACCCCATCTTACCTCCTGAATACCTACATCCCTGGGCAGACTTTATTTCATAATTATTTTCTTGATCAATAAAATTAACTAGCTATGCATTTTTTACTTTCATGGTATAGTAAACTGGAACCAAACAAAAAGAAAGACATTTCATAGCTCAACACATGAATTCCCTACTTGCTAAAGTAAAGTATTAAAGTTGACATTTGAAAAGCAGCAAACTACTGAAAATTTGGATCAGCCTGATGACTGCAGAAAGAGTGATACCTGCCTAAAATTAAATCTTTTATGGAAGCCGTATTTTCCTGGAAGTGTCTCAATGAATTTGTAAAATAGAATATTTCAGTTGGAAGGGACAGACAATAATCATGTAGTCCAGCTGCCTGACCACTTCAGGGCTCACCAAAATTTAAACCATGTAATTATGGGCATTGTCCAAATGACTCTTAAGACACTGACAGGCATCCTGAGGTTCAGTCCTCACCTTAGTTCTGCCATTTCTTCTTCTCCCTTTGTTCCTCCTATTTGACAAAATTCATGGTCTTCACATATTTTTTTCTCTTGCTTATTTTTACTTATTTCTCTCCAAGCCAGGTTGGATTTTTGTATTACTGTTGGTTAGTAGATGTATGAATAGCTTATACTGCAGGTGATAATGTTTTAATAATAATGAAGGTCAGATAGCAGCTGACAAACTTTGGAATGTGCATGTTTGTTTTCATTTAAATACGCAGGAACTGAAACTTTTAAAAATGTTTAATGTTACAAATACCAGTATGTAAATGTTTAAGTGTTGGGTAGCTGCTGGTGGATACAGTATCTCAGTACAAGGATGTGTTCAAAACATTTATATGACACCTGATTTTAAAGTTATTTTTATTTAGAATACAAAATAAACAAATCTACATGAATATATGGGAATTAAAATGATCAGATCTTTTTTCCCAGTCTTAAAGCTTCTCAGTACAATAAATACTACATTAAAATACCCTCTGTGTTTTGTTTTCTTTTGGGGGGGGGGGGGTGTTGGAGTTTTTTGTTGGGTTGGGTTTTTTTTTTTTCCATAAATGTGGATCAGAAAGGAGAATAAGATGGCAGCAGTTAAATTATCCTCATAATCTGTATGTATATACAGTAAAGAAATTCATAGAGTTCCTGAATTACATTTTCTAATACTTGAAAAAGAGACTTTTTTTCATTTCTGCCACATACAGAGGAAACAACTGATGGGAGAGTGACGTATCAAAAGTCTTAGAAGAGTAAGACATGCTGGCTGCTTTAGTCAGTGTTGCCAAAAGGGTAATTATAAAGGTAGGGATGAGGAGAAGCTGGACAGATGAACGGGAGGCAAGAAATCATGTTCCTTATTTTGTCAAAGCCTTTATAATGTTCCTTGGTAGTTGATATGGGGCTAGAGAGGAGCTGTCTGTTACCTTTTACACTATATACGTCACGGCTGTTCAGCAGAGCAGTATGTGGAGATCTCACTCCACAGAGCTGGAAGTGTTTCTGGACACCAAACTAGTATTTCTGCAAAGCCCTGTGCTGTGTCAGATTTTTAAAGCTGGTTCAGATATCCCTGGCATGCATTGCCCTTATGTTTAAATGCATTTAAATACATGCAATGTAATTGCACATAATTTCTCCGAACAACAGCAGCTCCAAAAGGTACTGGTTTTGCGTTCAAAGAGCATAAATGGACAGGGCTCTTAAAATGTTATAAACAAGATTCATGAAAATGGCTTGCATCAGAAATATTCTAATTTCTGCTGAGAAATACAAGTAATATGCAATGAATAACCTTTTGTATTCTTTTGAAATCATTGTATATCAGAAATGTAATAAAACATCCATTTACTGTTAACATATTGTACTCCGAACTTGCCCCAAGTCATTGTCCCAAGGCAATATCATTTTGTTCTCTTTTTCTGTCTAAATAGTAACAAATACATTATAGGCTAGCTAAATAAATAAAAAGGGATAACGTCAAATCCTTTAGGTTTGGTGTGACCTGTATTTTCTATCTGGCAGGATAAAACTGATTTGCTTCAATAAAATTAACTACTCAAATACAGAAGGTTTATCTTTTTTGTGTGTTAGTTAAAATTAGCTAGTGAAATTCACTGTTAATTATGACAGGCACTATTGTGAAATATTCCAGTGAAACTAGTAAAAAAATATTTGCCTGCTAGTAGTGCATCACTGCATCTGTTATATTCACTGCTGACTGCAATTCATGTAAAGACATGACCCTCATTATTCCCTCCTCACTAGTATACGTATGTACTCAAGGTACTCTGTGTTATGTCTGTACCAATTCTACCTCAATTTATTTCATTTCTGCTCCCTTTTTGTCCTTCTTCTTTGAAGACATTTTAGGAAAATAGTTACTCACAGTAATGTATCTCTTGTGTCTCTTGAAAATTTTCTATATTGGCCTTTTAAATTAAATTCTCAACACATGTGTGTTATTATATATAAAATATAAAATACTCTATATATAAATGAAAATAAACATATGCAATATGTTTCAGTACTTTAAAAAATGTATTTCTACATATTTTATACATAGAAATACAGATATGAATGTATAAAACCAAATATATAATAGAAAATACAAAATATGTGTGTGTATATATATAAAGTATGAAATGTAGAAATTATATATAAAGTGTGTATTCTATCTCCCTAGATAAATTTTCTTATTTTTGTGTTGTAAGTTATATTCTGTGCCTGCATAATGACCTGTGTGAACCTCTCTTTTGTTTTGTAGTTTGTGCCATTCCGAGATTACATTGACCGAAGTGGAAACCACGTGCTAAGCATGGCAAGACTTGCTAAAGATGTTTTAGCAGAGATCCCAGAGCAGTTTCTGTCCTACATGAGAGTCAGAGGAATAAAGCCATCACCTGCACCACCACCCTATACACCCCCGATTCATGTGTTGCAGACTCAGATTTGACTGCTCCAAAGCACTTAGCAATTCTCACAAGTCAAGAGTCTCTGGATACAGCAGTAGCTTCTGATAACTTTTTGGAGCTAGAAAGATTCTCTTCACATACCAAAATTCTGTTATGGGTGCATAAGCAACTGGAAAGCTTTTGAATGCTAGGAGCAAGATGCTGAAGTTCTCTCTAGGTCTTATTTTATTTTATTTTATTTTTTACAAAAAAAACCTACTTTTTGATGTATTTATTGGAGGGGAAAGCACAAGTCAGGATTTCAACTCAGAAGATACTGTCCTCTCTGAATACTGTGTGTATATAAATGTATAGGAATGCTATTCCTCTATATCAATGTTTACATGTTACTATTTTTAAATTTCTGTACTTTTATAACTATTCTTAAGAATAAAAGTTTGGAATATTGACTCACGTGTCTTCTAGCTTGCAATAGTTTGTCACAAGATAACAAGAGAAGCAATATCTCTTTGAATGTTTGTCCAGACAAATACAAATGAAAGCTAAGGACAAATAAGTTCATGTTTTCCAACACCTGAATTGCTTCAATCAGTGCTCAGTAATCCATTCATCTCCCAGTTTGAGAATAAACTCCTAAAATGTGAATAACATAATTGCATATGACTTATGACTAACTCCAAACTTTGAGGGGGAGGTATGCGTATTTTTTCAGAGATTCTCCAATTTCTAAGTTTATCTCAGCTTAGTTTTTTTTTAAACTAGTTGCTCGAGCAAATTAGAAGAGTTACTTGCTATAAGTAATTGAAGAAAATTACCTCAAATCAGAACTATCAGAGTATTATAGTTGACTCACTGAGCTCATTAAATCTTATCATGCATTCCTTAAAGCACTGGAAATTCTGCATCAGAAAAGTCTTTTGGAGTGATTACAGCAGATGTTTTATAATGGACTGCTTTAAACTTAATTTAAAGTTTTAACTTTTTGTCTAGATTGCCCATTCAAAGCGATGCTGACTCTTAATATTGGGGTTTAATATTGTCATTTAATCACATTGCCATTCAGGATGCATGAATGATGATGTTAATAAACTGGTTTAAAGATTGCACAATTATGTTACTTTGTGCACTATTTTGTGTACTGAACTACCCAAAATTTTTATTATATGCCTGTTCATATATAATTATAAAATGGTTTTGCATGTATAGTTTTTACAAAATGCACAGTTTTGTGGGTTTGTGTCAAATACCTTTTATTTAGAACTAATGGCCTTAAATTTCACAAAACTCCTGAAATGATTGTGAATTGCCTTTAAATACTGTTAAAATGGAACATTTTAATTTGTTTGTGTCACAGTTGTAACTGTCTTGTAATGTAACTTTTCTCCTTTGCATATAACCTGTTTACTACTTCTGTTTCTTACTACTCTATGTTGTAATCTACAGTATAAAACTGAGGTGCGTTTTTTAAGCATGAGAAGTTTTTTGCCAGAAAGCATATCTTCAATATTAATGGCATATAACTATGTAAATGCAGACTCTTCCATTTTTAAATATATTTAACTTCCTTTAACTATCTCATGTGGGAAATTACTTTTTCCAGATAATTATTCTGTTTGTTAGTAAAGAAAAAGAAAAAAAAAACCAAAAAAAGATTTTGTTTTTTTAGATAAATCTTGTTTTATTTTTATTTCAAAACAGTTTTTACATAAATATGGACTTTAATTTTCTCACCAAAATACGTATTTCTTAGTGGATTAATGTTGCATGAATGAAATTTGATACTTGGCAACTGCAAATTTTGATGAAAGTATATCATAAAGAATAACTTTAAATCTACTGGTTGGTGGTGGTGGTGTTCTGTCTTCTGCATTTATTTTTCATACTTACTGTGTTGGCACTTTAGAAATAACTGAAATAATACTGGATTCCTGATGTTTCATTTGGTTAGACAAATCTTATGCTAGCTTTTGTATTCGTTTCTAATGGTCCATGTACGTAACAGGTTTTCATTCTAAGGCCAGAACTACAAATGTCTTTTATTCAGTTTACAGTAATTTATTAGCTCTCATTTCACCAGCACCTTTTATTACTCCAAAAATCAGGCTCAAAACTAATTTGACAACTGATTTGAGAAATGAAGGAACTTTTAAAAATTGGTATTGGTTAATCAAAATTATTTTCTATCCGGCCAATTCTGCACTGCTGTTTTTTCTTCTGTTTGGTATTGGGGCTGTTCAGCCTGGAGAAGAGCAGACTGTGTGGAGACCTCATAGCAGCCTTCCAGTATCTGAAGGGGGTCTGTAAGGATGCTGGAGAGGTACTCTTCATCAGGGACTGCAGCGATAGGACAAGGGGGAATGGGTTCAAACTTAAACAGGGGAAGTTTAGATTAGATCTAAGGAAGAAGTTCTTCACAGTGAGGGTGGTGAGGCACTGGAGTGGGTTGCCCAAGGAAGTTGTGAATGCTCCATCCCTGGAGGTGTTCAAGGACAGGTTGGACAGAGCCTTGGGCGACATGGTCTGGTGTGAGGTGTCCCTGCCCACGGCTGCAGGTTGGAATTAGATGATCTTAAGAGTCCTTTCCAACCCTAACTATTCTATTATTCTATGGTTGGATTCTAAATCTAACCTATTTAATTGGAAAGAAATAGATGTGTTCAGTGGACTAAGTATTCTCATGGGTAAAGGAGACTTCTTCCAGACCTGTGACATTCCATATATGTTTGACATCTTTATTCTGTAATGTGAATGAGAATCATTAAGTAGGCTCATATAGTAGTCTTGGGCATTCCAGTATTAGAGACAAGAGTAAATGGTCAGAACTTGAATTTCCCAAAAATGCCATTTTTTGCAGCCATTTTTACTTCTGGCTTTATTTTTGAGAATATTGGAACACAAACCTCATATTCCTTTCCAAGAAATACTAGTTGCCATCAAAATTTGATGATTTTCTATGAAGCGCAGCAAGGAGTATTTATGTTTTAGAAAGGTAAAATATGATGTATTAGGTGACAGATGAGTTGTCCAGAAAGGGAAGCTGTTGGCCTTGACAAAAGCTCTCTTCCTTTGGTATCCATCTTGGAACAGATGTTTCCTCTCTATGACAGGCAGAAAATGCGATGGCAGTGTGCAAGCTTCCCAGATGTTGCTACAAATGAGGAAGAACACTGTCTCCTGGAGATATAACATGAGAGTGACTATTGTAAGTTTGATTCTGACTACTGAGGAGCTGTTTGCTAGTCTGGAAGAAGAAACTGGTTTGATCTTAGTTGAGAAATAGTATTTTGTTGTTCTAGGCAAAGACGGCAACCTATACAACAGAATTTACATGGATTTCAAATCAGCTCGCCTCTGTACACAGAAAAGGTTGCTAAGTGGGGTCCCCTAGGGAGGTACCTGAAGTAGAGGAACAGAGTGCAGGTATTCTCTGAAAAGACACATTCTGAAAAGCTGGAAATTCTCACCTAAGTAGGGACGAATGAAATTCATTCCAGAATACTTTATAAAATGCCTGAAACAATCAGAATGATAAATATCATCTTTGGGAACTAATAAAAGGACACACAGTGACAAATTATGCCAATGCAGTGGGAAACCAGGGAGCATAGTAAGAGGCTATTATGACTGTATCAGAAGTTCTTTAAACAGAAAAATCGACAAGAATAGAAAGAGAGAGTATGTTGCTATGGATAAATGTAAGAGAGAGCACAGCTATGTGTGAAGAAGGACAGAAAAACACAAAGCAGATTATAGAATCAACTAGGTTAGGGAAGACCTTTAAGATCAAGTCCAGCCATTACCCCAGGACTGCCAAGTCCACCAGTAAACGATGAAACCATTAAACCATTGTGACTGCTAAAGCCTCATAAAACCCACGCTATAAAGGGAAGGAAAAGTGAGTCTTTTATTTAACAAAAGAACGAGCAAATAGTAAATCTAGGGAAAAATTGAAATGCTCTATGTCTTTTTCCTTCACACTTCAGAGAAAAGGGATAATCATTAAATTAAATAGTCAATTAAAAAATAAACCTAGGCCTAGGTTTACATCTATGACTAATTTTTTTTCATAATACACGCTTTTGAAACAATTATGTTGAAAAGCAATATAATGAGCTTCAGGATAAAAGAGAGAAATAGCTGCTTTAAAAGCATTTTAAAAGCAAAGCAGGAGTTAGTGGCCTCATTTGAAGTGTTATGAAATACTGGTCAGACCATTCAGAAAAATGCTTTCAGTACTTCATTATCAAGCTGGAAAAATACAGCAATTGATGTTCCATAGGGATCTGTCTTGCTTTTGGTATTATTCGATCATTTCCATTGATGATGCAATATACAAAAGATGGTTGTTAAATTAGTGGGTTATATCACCTGGAGATAATCACTTCCAAAGATGGAAAGCTTAAGTTATTTTTATGAATTTGTCCTGGGTTCAGCTGCAGCAGTCATTTTTTCTCCTTCTTAGTAGCTGGTGCAGTGCTGTGTTTTTGACTTTCAGTCTGGGAACAATGCTGATAACACCGATGTTTTTAGTTGTTGCTCAGTAATGTTTACTCTGACCAAGGACTTTCTCAGTCTCATGCTTTGCCAGAGAGGAGGGGAAGCCAGGAGGAAGCAGAGGCAGGACACCTGACCCAAACTGGCCAAAGGGGTATTCCATACCACAGCACGTCATGCCCAGTATATAAACTGGGGGGAGTTACCCGGAAGGCCCAGATCGCTGCTCGGGTCGGGCTGGGTATCGGTCGGCGGGTGGTGAGCGGTTGTGTCCTTTTCCCTTGTTATTCCTCTTATCATTATTATTGGTAGCAGTAGTGGTTTGTATTATACCTTAGTTACTGGAGAGCTGTTATCTCAACTCGTGGGAGTTACATTCCTCCAATTCTCCTCCCCATCCCTCCGGGAGCGGGGGGAGGAAGGAAAAGGGGGGGAGTGAGAGAGCGGCTGCGTGGTTCCAAGTTGCTGGCTGGGTTTAAACCACGACAGAATTAAAAAAAAATACCTGAAAGAGGAGCAAATTAAATCAGGGCAAATACGTAAGAGTACTTAAGTAACGAAAAACTACCACATGCTTTTTTGTAGTAAAAAACCTGGCTATGCATTAGTTCTGCAGAATAGGGTCTGAGGTTCAAGTGGATCACAAAGTGGCATTGAGGGGAAGGTGTCTAAGTCAAAGTTTTGAATATAGGCCACCTGAAATAATCCTTTCATTGTTCTCAAAATAATAAGGCTTTAGCTAGAGTACCAGGTTGTTTTGAGACTTCAAATAACATGTGAAGCAACAGGAGGAAATGACGGACGACTGTTAGGTCATCTAGGACTGGCGGACAAAATTGGGCAGAT